CTCAAAATCTTATTCTTAAAAAATAGAAGTGACAGAAATCCCAGCTTTTTTAAAGAGAGTACCCTGCTATCTATAAGTCATTGTGTTTATTCATAGTTGGGACCATTCCCTTCATTAATTTCACTTCTGTCATTCTATGCCTCTCCTGCCTCTGCCTCAGGAGCCAGCCTTCCATGGTTCTTCCCCGCCTTCGGTGCTGCTCTGCCGTGAGTGCTTACACAGCCAGCTCTCTCAGTCACTGTTTGGTCCAACTATAAATAACTCCTTTAATCTTCCCTCATAAATCATTTCTGACGTTACTCTCTGAAATCACTCCACTTGGTCAATGTATTTCTACTAGTGACATATCCAGAACCAAGTACAGTAATCTAAGCATGCTCAATTATGCCAGAGAGAACCCACAGGTAGTGGTTATTTAGGTGGGTTGGTGTTTTTCGGTATTGTTACTGTTTCAGAGGAGTTTTAAGGGTCCAAACTAAACTTGGACAGAAACAGGAAAAGGAAGAAGTTTTAATGGCTTTCACCATAGTTAGGTGGGAAATGGAGAGAGAAATGGTTTTAAACTGGATGAAAAGAGAAGGGGGGGGTAGGGGAGAAGTAAGAATGTGCTACCAAACACAGCCTGTTTGTCGATCCTCAAACCCCTTTGGGACTTTGGGGGGCTTGTGTGCATTGTTTCACATTATAAATCTTAAACAGTGTTATTTATTATCTTATTTATTATCTCATGAAATATTAGTATCAATATTTATCCCTTCCTATTAAAATTGATCCAAATTCTAATTTCTATTTTTAGGTATGTGCACTGATTTCTATTTTTCTGGGTTCTGTCTTGATGTTACTTTAAAACCTACACGTTCTAGCTACTAACTGAACTACCCAGCCAGACTCAATAATAATGCTTGCCTTTAAAAAAAAGAGAGTATGTGTAATCATATGCTGCTTTGGTAGAAGTACATTATTAAGAAGAGGAAGATAACAGTTGCACTATTTTCCAGCATAGTGGCTACCACATCACTTCCGGTCTCCCCGCTTTAAGCGAGGCGCTGGCAAGACTACTGCAGAGTGACAAAGCACCATCATGAGACAGAGCCGATCACCCTAGAACTGCAACGTCGGGAGTGAACCTAGGAGATCACAGAACCTCTTCCTCTGCTCCCTTTGACTCCTGGCAGTAAAGAAACTCTGAGGCACGAACTCATTGGAAATAAACCAAAGTTTTCCCTAGAAGACGTGGTGGCTCCACAAGGAGGGGAGGGCTGGATTATCAAAAAAAGTAAGAACCTCAACTTTTAGGTTTCAAATCCAATTTTCAAGTGAATGGGGTGCCATTAGAGTAAAAAACAGGAAATACTAAAGTAGCTAATACTACACCGTTCTTTTCACTGTCATTTTGAATTTCGCTGGCACTAAAGTGTTGCATTTCCAAGGATAAAAAAATACCATTTAAGTATAAGAACTTAAAGCATATTTAAAGTGACCCAAGTAATGGAACTTCTATATTCATATTGTCATTTAAAATTATAATTTATTCCTCTTAGAGTTTTAGCAGAGATAGTCATGAACTGAGATGAACACAAGCATCTTTGATCAATTAAACCCAAAATGATAAGCCACAGTGTCCTGTTTTAGGAGTGGTTTTTTAGTGGAACTGCACATCAGACTAGGAAAGCAAGTTCATCAGTATGTCTTGTATCTCAAATTCCCACTCAGATGTGACACTCTCACCTCTAACTGGAAACATAGTCCATACCACTGTATGACACCTGGTACAAGCTAACTATCCAATACAATCTACATACAGGTCACAATCAGTCAACCCACATATATTTTGTTGTCAACATGCCCCTGCCCTCAAGAATTACATTCCAGAGGGGAGATAATGAACACAGAGACACAACAGTGACTCTTGAGGAAAACATACAGGAGGGTAACACAGTGCGCTGTGGGCGGTGAAGGCTATTAGTTTAGTCTAGTTTGCCAGGGCCACTCCAACCTCAACGATGCTTCCTCAGAGCAGCCTTTCTTGGCCACTCTAGTAGTGAAACACTCTAAAGAGACCTAGAAGCCATATAAAAACTTGGGAAAACACAGTCCAAGTGGAAGGAAAAAACTCTTAAAACCAAAAAGAACTTCATGTGTTGCTGAGATTAGAAATGAACAAACAAAATATGGCTTAGTATGGTGAACAAAGAGGCGAATAAAGGGAATAAGAGTAAATAAATATCAGGGGATCACATCATATAGGTCACTGTCAAGCAGAGTGAGGAATTTAGATTTTATTCAGTTTCAGTAAGAAACAGTGGAAGGTTTCAAGCTATGAAATGTAAGGCTTTGGAAGGTCACTCTGGCTACTTTGTAACTGAGTGGCAGGCAGACCAAGTGGTAGCAGGTGCAACAGTCCAGAGAGGGTCATGGCAGGGTGAGTGACAGGAAACAGACACGGTCAGAAGGAACAACTAGAAGCGTACCTATGCAACGTTTACAGACGCACAGCTCCTAAGCTGTAAACAACTAGGTGGGTGTTTACACTACATACTAAGATGGGCGTGTCTTTTAGTAAGCATTCTGTGTGTTGGGAGTTGGCAGACTTGTGAGCTGAAACAAATAGTAATGTTTGCACTTGTGAAATGTGAATGCCTGATATGTAAGTAGAGAAGCTGACTGGCCAGGGAGATCCACAAAGCCAGAGCACACGGGCGAAGTCTGGGCTGGAGGGGGGAATGTGAACACTGTCAGTATATAAACAGTCAAAGCCATGGAACTGAACGACATTACCCAAGGAAAGAACTAGGTTTAGAAAGAAAAAGAAAAAGAGGGCCCAGGACAGAGCTCCGGGGCACCTATTACAGCCTGCCAGAATACACGGGCCTGGAAAGGCAATCAGGAAGGACACATCAGGTGAGGAGAGACAGTGCAGAGAAGACGTAGCTCCCTGGTGACCTTGAGAAAAGTTCCTTCAGTGGAGTGAGCAGTTCGCAAACCAGCCGGAATATTTTAGCTCCACTACTGGGCATCTTCGTTAAGTCCAGTTTTGTATTTATCTTTTCATTTATTTATACAATATAAAACCCTGAGGACCACTTCCCCAACAGCTTTGCTCATATGTGCTCAAACAATAAGCTGAATGAGTAAATGCTGCTCTAAGATATTCTAAAATAGTGCAAGATTAACTCTCTTAAATTGGACATCACAAATTAGTTATCCTCCAATCACTAGATTGTTCTTAATATGTTTCTAACACATTATTGTTCTTTGAAAAGAAACAACCACTTATTGTCAAAAGGTAAAAATAATTACTTATTGTAGCAGGTGATCTGACTTGTTAACACCAAAAACTCAGAGTGAAAAAAAAACTCAAAATAGTTAAAAAAATAATTATAACTATAGTAGACTAATGCAATGACTTCTTAATGCCATTCCAATTTCCTTTAATGTATATAACTCTATCTTCACCAAATAGCAATACAAAAATGGTAGTTACCAAACTTTAAAGTGAATATGAATCACCTTGGCTGCTTATAAGGGCAGTTATAAGGCACCCCAGGTAAAGTATGGGTTGAGATCAGGCTGTATATACTTTTTAGTTACCTTTTTTAAAAAAGTTACCATGGAGCCCTGGCTGGTGTGGCTCAGTGGATTGAGCACCGGCCTGTGAACCAAAGGATTGCTGGTTTGATTCTCAGTCAGGGCACATGCCTGGGTTGGGGGGCAGGTCCCCAGCTGGGGGAGTGAGAAATGCATGTTTCTCTCCCTTTCTTTCTCCCTCCCTTCCTCTCTCTCTAAAAGTAAATAAAATCTTTAAAAACAAGTTACTATGGAAATTCTGAAACAGTCCATGAATCATACTTAGCAAAATAATGATGTGGGAGTTTAGCACAGAACAGTGTCTATAATAACACCTGGAAAAAACATCTTTGCCCACCCCAACCCCACTAAGTATCGGACTTGCTATTTCTTTTAGCTCTCTTGGTCACAGATTCATTGTGGCATTTGTCAAGTACCTGTTGTATGCCTAAATGTAAACATTTCCAAAATCTCAATGTTTAATTTGTTCTTCCAGTATGTGTGCATGGATACGTATGTGTATGCTCATGTAACACTAGACTGGAAAATTATACATCCACACAGCAGCCATACAAAACTAAAACCATCACCCCTGCATCTGCATTCATAAACTCAGAAAATTCTTTTCAATAGTTAAGGTCCTTGTCTCAGACAAGGACTCAGCTGCATTTCTGTAACTTGAATGTTTAAGTGACTGTGGAGGAGCTGATGTCAAAAGACCTATTTCAACAGCTGAACTTGCACTGTATGTGTTTTTGAATGAGTATAAATAAATCCTCATTTATCATTTTCTGCTGAATTCACACCTATATAAGTCTAGAAATTGCATTTCCAATAGGCTTCCCATTCACCATCTCAGAAGAACAGTTCCCTGATTATTTGGAAAGCCCTTTAACATTTTCTCTAAAACTCATCCCAAGGCTAAGTTGGGTTGTACAGAACAGAAAAAGGGGAAATAATACAAATGATCACTTTTAATATTTTAAGTGAAAGAACAGGTAAACCACAGTAGAGGAAAGAGAGGTTGAGTGGCAAGGACAGTAATGATATGAAATTGTTTGAAATAAGAAATGAAATCAAGAATTAAAAATAGAATTACATTTTCTGTTTGGCAATACACAAGCAACACTAAGTGCACTTCATAAATTTTACTATTGTTGCTCTAAGTGATATTACCATAAATCACATTAGTAGTGCACTTGGCATTTTTTAAAAGCAAAAAGGATTGAGAGTGTCAATAAGTTTAAACAGCTCTGTTATCTCTGAAGAGAGTGAAAGAGAAATTATCACAAGCTTTTACCAGGTCCAAGAGCCCAGCTCTAATGCCCCTCATTGTTGCCATCACTCTCCCCCCAGCTCCAGGGCAACCAGAGCGTCCCTCTGCCAGCAACCTGTTACGGAAAAGGTTCACTGCTGCTTCCCTGGAGCTTTACCTGGTGTGCTCGTGGAGACGGCTGTTTGCCCCTCTTCTCATCGCGAACGGGGAAGAGAGACTTGAGCAGCTTTGGCATCTGCGGCACAAAGGATTTCACTGGATTCAAGTAGGAGGCCGCTAGGCTACTAAGTCCTGTCAAAAATATTGGAAGGAAAAGAGATAAGGCAAAAACAATTACATAGACATTTTCTTTATTGTAAACTTGACAAGTACCATTTGTAAGCAAATCTAACAACATAAATCGAAAAAGGTTATCTTCTAAAAATTAATATTAAAAACCCAGTATTATTATAGTTACCCCCTCAGGCATGTTGGGGTCTCCTTTTCCAATTAAGGAGCAGCAACTGGGGTAACTTCTAAAATTTTCTAATCTCCAGTGTCCTTGTTCGTAGGCAGAGGGTAATCCAACCCCAGTCCTTGTCACTAACTAGTTCAAGTACTAACTTCTGCCCTGGAGTAAAACAGGGCTTTTCATTTTTAAATCACATAACTGACGACACACACGTGCACCACTCCGCCATCTGGACTTTAAACCCTTCGAAGTCAGGGACTATGTCTTATTCAACTTTAGAGTTTCATGCTATTTCCTGCATGAAAATGATGACACTGACCTCTGAGGAAGAGAGTACTGTTTAAGTTGTTTTTAGAAGGGAGGAACAGAGGTCCTGAACCAACCGCCTTCTTGCCTGCTTTTCACTACTAAAGGCTGAGATCAAATGGGCAGATAATTGCTTATGATATAAGATTTCTTTCCCCTTAGTGGATAAAACTAATTTTTAGGAAAATCTAATCCAACTCATAAATGATAAAACACTGTATCCTTATAAGTGAACAAACAAATATAGGAATACCTAAAAGCCAAAAGAGGAAATAAAATCAAACACTACAAATATTTTCCTTTTCTTTTCCTAGGAATAACTATTTTATTTATAGCTACGAGGGCCTGTACAAAGCTCTATTTTTCCCCACGTGGTTTCTTTCTTTCTTTTTTATTTTTCAATTACAGTTTACATTCAATATTATTTTGTATTAGTTTCAGATGTACACCTTAGTGGTTAGAGTATATGACTGTCTAAAACATTTTTCAATTAAAAAGGAAGAGAAAAGGAAGTCACAGTGAAAAAAAATAGGCCAAAGAGAAACCAATAGCAACATGGAAGATATAACAATAATGTTAGATGTAAAGTAACTAAACATGTAAAATAATTAAAAGGCAGAAATTGTCAGAGCATATTTAAAATAATAGCTAGTCCTCACTATTTACTCTCTATAAACAATCACTTTTAATTTAAAGACAAATACAGGCTAACATTTTAAAACCTGAGAAAAAGATACACCCATGCAAACAACAAGCAAGGGAAAGTTGATGCGGCTGTATTAATAAGCAAGGCATATTTCAAAGTATCTTCTACCAGGGATCTACAGGGACATTTCATAATGAGAGATGTTGCTTCTTCAGGGGGAAAAGAACAATCCTCAATGAGTATATGCCTAGTAACAGAGTTTCTGAGTGCATGATGCAAAAACTGAAATAATTAAAGGGAAAAACAGACAATTTTCCTTTTTTTAAGTATATTTTATTACAGTTGTCCCACTTTTTCCCCCTCTGCCCTCTCCACCTGGTACCCCCTTCCCTCCAGCAATCCACCCCCTTAGTTCATGCCCATGGGTCATGCTTATAAGTTCTTTGGCTTCTCCATTTCCTATGCTATTCTTAACCTCTCCCTGCCTGTTTTGTACCTACCAGTTATGCTTATTCCCTGTACCTTTACCCCATTCTTCCCTCTCCCCCTTCCCCTCCCCACTGATAACCCTCCATGTGATCTCCATTTCTGTGATTCAAAAACAGACAATTTTCACAATCATATTTGGAGATTCAATGCCTTCTTTTAGTGACTGATAGAACAAATGGAAAAAAATCAATAAGGATGGAGATTTGAGATTATCAACCACTTTGACCTAATTGCTATCTAGAACATGATGCCCTGAAACAGAAGAGACATTCTTTTCAAGTATAAATAGAATGTTCACAAGATAGAACAGTCTCAAAAAATTTCAAATGGTGGAAATATTAGAGTTTATTCTCTAATTATGATATTAAATGAGAAACCAATAAGACTCCCCTGATATATGAAAATAAATGAACATGCTCAATCATCCATGGCTCAGAAAATAAATCAGAGGGAAATCAGAAAATATTTTGAATATAATAATGAAAGCACAGCATGCCAAAATCTGTGAAATGAAGAAATAACAGAAATCAATGAAACAGAAAATAAAACCAAAATTTAGTTCTGTGAGAAGACTATGAACACTGATAAACCTATCTCAAAGTATTCAAGAAAAACATAAAGAAAACAAAAATTATCTATAGGAGAATAAAAAAAATCATAGATCTTACAAATATTAAAGGGGCAACAAGGGAACACTGAAACAGTTATTAGCATAAATTTAATAATTTAGATGAAATAGGAAAATCCTTGAAAAATGCAACTTACGAAAATGGACTCAGAAGGAAACGACAAAAAATTAAGCAACCCTATATTAAAGAAAGTGAAGTTATAATTTCAAATCTTCCCACAGAGAAAATTTCAGGCCCAGGGAATGTCCTTGGTGAATCCTGTCCAACAGTTAGGGAAGGAGTTAACACCACACTTACAAAACCTTTCAGAAAAAAAAAATGAGAAAATATTTCCCAAGTCGCTTTATGAGGCCAACAGGATCAGGCCACTAAAGCTACCAAGGACACTGTTATTATGAGAGAAGTACCGACAGACATTCGCTGTAGTCACATGCACAAAGACCCTTAAAAGGCTAGCAAAAGGAAATGTAGGTGTAAAGGATAGCACGTCATGCTCAAGGGCATTTGTCACCAGAATGCAAGCCAAGCTCAACTTTCAAAACTCAATGTAATTTAACCTGTAGAGGCAAAGGGGAAATCCCAGATGGGCATGAACTGGTACGACGGTGGTTACCTGATAGGACGTCCTGATTTAAACTATTTCTGAAAGCTGTTCAAATTTCATGACAGTGATTGACAACTACAAACGGGACTTACCTGGGTCAGGAGAATGGTTATTTTGGGGACCACCAGGGAGGGCTGGGGCCACTGGAGCTGCTCCCCTGGAAACCATGATCTGCGATACATCCTGTTGACTCTCCCACCGGCCCTATTAAGGACAAAATTGGAAATTTCAATTCAAATCAATCATTTAACAACAAAAAAAAATCTAAAGATATTTAAGAAAAAAAACTGTTATACATTACTAAAGCTTTATTCCTTTGAGAGGACATGATCAATATGATTACATAAGTACTTTTCCTCTTGTACACTGCATCTTCTTTACAGTATTAATTTCCCTAATAATGGTGACACCTCACACCTGGATTCCCCTCCAGTTTACCACATGCAGTCTCCTCAGTTCCCTCCTAACATTCCTCCAACTACACCGAGTTGCTTCCCACAAAACATGCACATATCATCACACTCCTTCTGAAATCCTCCCTACGTTCTGCTTCCTGCTCTTCTGCCTCAAGGTGCCCTTTTCCATCGCAGGTTCCTCCTGAAACCCAGAGAAAACTCGAGCGGTGGTGGGTGTCTCTCTTTTCCAGGTGTGTCTCCTTCCACCCGTGCACATATCATTCACAGAAGTAAAAAATCTCGAACAGTGCAGTACCACGCTTCTCATTTTAAGTAGACATTAAAGATAAGTTCCAGGAAAGCCCAAATCAAGTAATCACAAAATCCCAATAATGGAAGTCTCTGAATTAACAAGTTTTATTGTACTCTCAACTTATTTTATAAATGCTCATTACAGAGATTTTGTTGCATAACACCAGAACAATGCCTGCCAGGCAGTGGATTCATTTACAATTCTGATACTTGTGGTGAGGCATAAAAATGGTGACATCATCAAAGCACTTTTAACATCAGTCTCATCGAGGGAAAGAAGTAAACCCCAACCAAATATCACAGGTACAAAAACACCCCAGCAATGGAGATGAGATGCAAATCTTTTAAATGTTTTAGGTTCCTCTGTGATCCTCTGATAATCACTCTGACTTCTATTTCACTGGAGTTAAATAAAGGTATTTTATATTAATTTAGGCCAGTGTTTCACAGATGAGCAACCCTAACGACCACCCAAGTTTTCATTAGTAATCGCCTGCAAAGCCTGTTTCCCACTGCTCCTGAAGATGGATGGAGGTGGAAAAGATCTCTTAGGGTTCAGATATGTATTGGAAACCTATCTGCTTTTAGCAGCATCGTAAGTACTGATCATAAAATCAATAATCCCTAAGTGATCTGGATTCTGTTTACCTTGGAGAACACTTTTCCTTAGGAACACTCTCAGCACTTGATATTTTAAAAAATGGTATGATGCCTAGCATCAGGAAGCAAGGAAACAAAACAGACACGAAGGGATGACTCGGAAAGCCATGACTTCTGAAATACTTCACGGCAGGAGCAACTGCTTTACTATGAATCACACAATGATTTACATACGTTAATGCTTCATTAATGTTTTTTGCATTTACATTTAATTATCCATCTGGGAAACTACAGCTCTGTGTATTCCAGGATGTTACAGTCAGGTGGCTGAACACTAAGGTCAATCTCTTTGGAGCTTTGCAGAGGAGAAGCCTCATGCTTTGTTTACAGTGTTAAGCTCATGCAAGGTTGTTCTGAAGACAACTTAATCTGAGAATAAATTTATTTTCAGATTTTAGATTTTTCTGCCTTCTTTGGCAGCTGACAGAGTGGTATTCTGTCCCTTAGGAAAACTAAGTAGCTGATTTGGAGTCAGCACCTTGGCTGTTTGGTGTATAATAGTCCAATGACAAATAATGTAGGTATCACCTCTCCCCCAAGTGCTCTTGGGGCGCTGCTAGCTTCCCAAGTAATTTTTCCCAGTTGACATTCCCACACACAATGCTACTCCCAAAGCAGAATGAAAGCAACAGCTCTCACTGTCTCATATATTCAAATATCTCAAGTGAGAACATTTGAAAGGATGCACACAGTACCTTAATTAATACCGCCTTAGCCATATTGCTAGCCCTATCGGATAATAAAAAACGGAGACACATTTCACTTCATCCATCTACCTTAACTGTCATCTTAACCTTCAGCAATCTCGAATGCTAGCTGTTCCCAGGTCTCGCCAACCAGACACAAGGACACAGATCGTCTCCAATCACTCTGGGATAGATGGAGCTCTGCTTCCGAGGGGACAACAAATTTGGATGAAAAACCAGGTACATGCTCCTCCCTCCTCTCAGACGCGGGCAGACCTCTGGAGAAGCACTCCGCTGGCATCACTCGCTCCATTCTGTCTCCCCTGCAGTACACGTCCCACCCTCTCGCCAGAAATGAAACCCGTGGTTCAGGGGCTAGCTATACACACTGCCCCCTGGGGACAAAGCATTTGTGTCTTTCCAATAAATTATATATGCTTGATGTTCTAGAGTAATTCTCCCTTTACTGACACGCTGGGGTTGTCGGGGGTGGGGATCAAAGCATCTCGGTTAAAGGTGCTTCTGAGGGAGATGAACTCAGGACAACAAGTAAAAAGCACCTGGCCAGACAATGGACCACTGGACTGTTCTGCTCTCTTATGAACTCAGTTCTCAAAGTAAAAGAGTTTGGTGATTTGTTTTTTGTTGTTGTTGTTGTATATCTTATACCACAGTAATCTACACCCCACCACTTTAAATCTAAAAAGATAAGTCCGTGATCTGTTTCTAACATTCTGCCTTGTCTATCAAACTTCAGAATCAGCCTAGATGAGGGGACAAGAAAGAAAAACTCTGGCCTCGTTTTGAATTCCCACATTAGCGTCACACGTTTTAGGGATTATTTGTGCTCCCAGGCACAAATCTGGGAAATAAAACCCTCTTCGAGACAGCCGTTATTTGTAACAAGCACCGTGCTGAAAGGCAAAACTGAACAGGGAGAAACACAGGAGTCTCTCAGCTGGCTTGAGAATGCGGTTTGGTCCCTACATGCCCTCAGCCTATTATGGCTCTTCTGACAGAGATTCTGCGGGTTTTCTGTAAAGATGTCTGTTTTTCATCAGAAAAATAACAAAGATGTAATAAAGAGAAATGACATTCCAGATACAAAGGTGGCTTCTAATGTGACTAAAGAAGTGTTCACATCTGGCATCAGCCTTTACCAATTAACTCACTCACTGATGGCAGTTCTCAGGAAGGTAATGTGTGCAAAACACACAGTTCAGTTTTGTTAACCAGAGAGATACTCATTCAAGCTTCTGGCTGCTTTTAATTGCATCAAAAACTCCAATCAGAAGATGGTGTCACTGTCTTCTGATACACTATCTTACTAGCTTATTAAAAAAACATAATTCCATCTAAACTGGCTTTAGAAATACCAGTATTTCAATGTTGACAGTGTTCCATGAATTGCAAAAGGTTTCAACACACAGCAAATTTTTAGATGAAAAAACAATCTGCTGAAATCAGCTCTGCACCTAAATGTGAGCCCATCCTGGTAGACTGGTCATAAAATGTTTGCTGCTTCTCTGGCTGGTGTAGCTCAGTGGATTGAGTGCCAGCCTGCAGACCAAAAGGCCACTGGTTCAATTCCTGGTTAGGGCACATGCCTGGGTTGCAGGTCAGGTCCCCAGTTGGAGACATGCGAGAGATTACCGATTGATGTTTCTCTTGCACATTAAAGTTCCTCTCCCTCTCTTTCTCCTTTCTTTCCCCTCTCTCTAAAAATAAAAGTAAATAAAACCTTTTATTAAAAAAGTTTGCAAAATTTTCCTTTGATCTATAAAAAAACTGCCTTAATAATCATGATGAAATATCCAGTAACAGTAAACAGCAACATCACTGCAATTACGGGTATTTTATATTTTTAACTGAAAAGCTTATTAAGAATGATTTCTTGTAGGCCCTGAGGTAACTTAAAAGTTGGGAGTAGTTAATAAAATTAAATGTTGATGGTGCTCAGTGAAACTACTGCAACTGTAATATGTGTCAAGCATCAGTAAAGAAGAGAACGCAAGACCTAACCAGCCAGAACCAAAGTGCTCCAGGTCAGACTGAGGTTGTTCTCAGGACCCCCACGACCTCCTCTCACCTCCCCGGCCCTATCAGACTCCCTGTTCCCGCCCCTGTCTCACCTCTTAGTGTTGCTCTGCTTCCAAATGATCCATCTTTACCATTATATTAAAACTGAAAATCAGGAGAGAAAGGGAGACCTGAACTACTCTGTTGCCATTCCTGCTTTGACACATCTTTTCAGCGAACCTAAATGGTCCAATCCCACCCGGGGAAGACACTGCACATCAAATTCTTCCTGTGTAATTCTGATGGTGTCCGACAAGATCGGGAGAAGAACACATAGATTAATGTAAACAAAAAAACCAGAAAAAAGGGTATGCAAGTTTGCAAGGTAGATGTAACTGATGTAATTATAATTTTCAATTACTTTAAAACAAGTTTTCTAGCATTTTAAGCAACATCAAGTCCAGGGTAAAATTATACTTCTGACTCAACTCTCTTTAACATTATGTACTTTTGTACAAAAAAACCCCAGCTGACTAAAGCCTTAGTGTATCCTGGTGATATACTAACTTTATATACTAAATTTCCACATTGGTACCTGGAGGGGTTGCTAGTTATTTTTACAGCTGCATGGCATCCCATTTATTTAGTTGTGCATGTGTGTGTACACCCAGGCACAGATAACATGTATTTAAGTGGACTAAACCAAGGGACATTTAGTTTGTTCTTAATCATCTGCAATGAAAAACCATGTTACAGTGGACACCCTTATATACAGGCCAGTTCACATGTATATAAGCACTACTGCTATGTAAAGGGATTTAATAGGATTTGGATAATGTGTATGTCTATTAGTTCAAACCCTACCCAATCCTGAGGAACTTTATTATGGGCAGCGTTAATAACAAACTTTGAACTCAAGGCAATGCCATATTTGAAGATGTTGTTCATTGTTTCATTTAAAAGGCCACAGGGAGAACTCTGTTCTTTGCTATTAATGGTGGTGGGGTGGGGAGAGGTTCTTTTTTCACTAGTAAGAAAATAAAATTTTAAGAATATTTATTTCGGCCCTGGCTGGCATAGCTCAGTGGATTGAGCGCAGGCTGCGAACCAAAGCATCGCAGGTTCGATTCCCAGTCAGGGCACATGCCTGGGTTACAGGCCACGGCCCCCAGCAACCACACATTGATGTTTCTCTCTCTCTCTTTCTCCCTCCCTTCCCTTTCTAAAAATAAATAAAATCTTTTAAAAAAAGAATATTTATTTCCATTGAAAATCTTTTAAGATGCTCTGCTTTGGATGACAGAACTACTGAGGGGCCCCTCACCTGCAAACGAGGGAGCCGCTCTGTACTCCCCACTGACGTGAGCCCAAAACTGAAACTTCATGGCTTTGTATTCCTCCCGCTTTGTTCTCTAACATCACAGTTACAACCCTCCATCACATGTATGTCCTCACTTATTACGCAGGCCTGCCCATAAAAAGCTGTCTCAGAACAGTTTGCCTCTGCCTTTCCCCTAGCGAAAAGCAAAAGGTCTCTCTAATTTTATGTGAACATTCATTCACCCTGCAGATCTGGAGATAGGCGAGAAGGCAAGTGATGCCCACGGGACGTGATGATGCTGACCGAAGCCCAGCTACAGGAGGAAACCGTTCAGGGCTCGTGGCTGCCAGGAGTTCAAAGGAAGACACAAAGAGAGGCCCACGGCTGAGCTGGCACCTCCGCCCTCCCTGAGGACCTCCAGTGTTTGTCAGAGGGTGGGACTGCTGTGCTTGGGGAGAGCCAGGAGAGGCCGAGTTTGAGAAAGACCACAAACTGGGGAGGAAAGGGTATTTAATTCTTCTGAAGTGCACGACAACTTAAACTGCATACTGCAATGGAGTGGGGAAACGATGACACGAGGAAAGTCTGAGAGGAAGGAAGGAAGTCAGACCTCCCTCGTCTTTGCTAAACTCCCCAGGCACGCCAAGAAAGAAGACACCAAGATGGCTCAGACACGTGAAGTCCTGGCAGAGGAACAAAAATGTGTCATGTTGCATTATTTAAATGACGTGTCCCGCTAACTTCTCCCCAGTCCTTCACAGAAACTGCCCCGGGAAAGGGCTCCAAAAACTCTTAACTATCACATCAAAATAGTCTTTCCAGTCGTGTTACAGTCTCTAAAGAATCTGGACGGAGTCCTTAAAGCCTTTCTCCCCGTTTCCAAGCCACGCTGCCTCCTGGGTCTCCTTTCCTCTGGGAGGACTCCAGTCAGTCACCCTGGCCGGCTTCTGCTCCTGCCCTTGCCGTCATAGCTTCCCCCTTGGGACAGAATCCCTCCCACTAGTTCAGCTGTGCCCTGAGCTCCCAAAGCCGTCCTCACTCCAGGCTTCCAGATGCCTGAACCAGCACAGACACCTTAATGCCAAAAACTGAACTAAATCATTTTATTCCCCAAGCCTGTCTCTCCCACAGTTCATCTCTGCAGAGTCGCCCAGAAACCCAGATGTCACCCTAGTCTCCTCCCTTGCTCAACTTCATTCTTCATGCCCACAGAATTCTGGAGATTCTATCTCCTTATTTATTGTCAATCTCTCTTTCCCCTCCCCACTGCTGAATCTCCTCCTTTACCTTATCTCGCCACCCTCCAATTAAAATTTTTTGCACACCTTTGCACTGATAACGGCATAAATTTGTACTGCCTACATTATTCTAATGTAATTTTACGGGTCATACCCAGGAACACAAGTGGGGTTTAGGTGAACTGGTAAAAACTGCCTTTGCAATTCCAGCGTGAACATGTTATTGCCCTGTTCCTGCATCAGTGGCTCCCGACTCCTCCTCTGCGCCTTGGCACCTCACGCCAGAACTTACAGTAAGGCCCCTTTTCTCTGTGTCCCACCCCACTGCACGCCCTCTGCTTGACTCACACTGCATGTACTGTCACCCACATAGCACGCGTGTTCACCCCTCTGGGCAGCGTTCACGCTGCTGCTCCAAGTCCTGCCCTGCCTGGGGGATGGGGGGCTTGTCATCTTTTCCGCATGAAACTTACAGGAGTTGTCTCCTCTCTGCCCTCTCTTGACCCCTTACTCCCTCCCCTGGGTCCCTACTCTACCTAGTAGGGTTCCTATCACAGCATCCATGTTCCTTTATTCTATTTATCTGGTGTCAGTGAAGCACAGTGATTTTCTTTCAAGTAGATGCTACTATCTTCTTCATTTACACATAAGGAAATGAAAGGAAAATAGAAAAGGTGAAGACATTTTGGCCACAATTTCCAAGAAACTTTAAAAAAATGCCATCTAGTTTATCTCTGAAAGATTTTACACATACATATCATATTTTTATTTTCATTCTATATCCATCCTTTGAATAATTATGTCTGAAAAGTTTGTGATATAGCATAATATAGGAATGCTAAATGTTTCAAAGCAAACATTCAAATGTTACCTACAAAACTGGTAAGAATTTTTCTTTTTTTTAATTATATTTTGAAATCACTGCCTGATATCAGACTATTTTATATAACACCATTCACTTTTAACCTCCTCAAGGATTAAGATATCAAATACAGAGCATGCTACCCACATTTGAGAGGACCAACATCTGACTAGGGCCTTCAAAAGATATCGGACAAAAAAACCGTAACATGACATTTAGTTATGACGATTTCAAGATATCCCTTTAAGTAAATAATAATGACTTATCTATGCTTAAAACTCTGTTAAATTGGGGAAAGCTATTTTAACAGGTAAATAAATTCCAGCTAACAGATTTTCTGTTCTCTTAACTTTCTTTCTTCTAACAAAAAAAAATACTAACTTTCAGGTATACTTTTCTTATTCCTCATACATTTTCCATCATTATATCAATATTTTACTATTAAAAACCTGATTTGAAGTTCCTTTTCTGACACAAACAGAAGAGTATTTTAAACAGAAATATGAACTCACTAACCAGTTTAACCCCTATGAATTTAGAGTAACAAGAAGGTCTGTTAACTCATATTCTGACTGTCAGATAAAAGAAATGACCTGTGAACACACTCCACCAGGCCTCCCGTGCACGGCAGGGTAGGAGAGCTTCCGGACGACAAGGCGAGGGTGTGACCTCTGGGAAAGAGTCTGAGACTGACGGAGGGTGGCTCGGAGCACGGAGCACGTACCTTGTTGCTGCCTAGGCTGCAGGTCGGAACGAGGTCTTGTCGGCTGCCAGACAGCTGAGGAAGGAATAAAGGGCGATTAGTCCTGGCTGTGTGAAGGCACGCAGACCTGCGGTCCTGGAAATCAGGACGGGCGGACGGCAGCACGGAGGCTGTCAATGGCCAACGGGGCAAACTCAGACTCGTGGCCTCTGCCACATTGTGAGGCACGTGTTTTTTTAACTGAACTGGTTATCAACAGTTTTATGATGGTGGCTTATACAAGATCAGATATCCAGTGTCCACTGAGGCAAGGACCAACTGGGCCTAAGTAACAAATCATTCATTTGCTTACCCCTCCCATTTAGAAGATACCAGGTTACTGGTTATCTTACCCTATCCCGATCTTCGAGTCTGTTTCCTGGGTATTCGCAGCAAATGTATACAAACAAACCATTTCTTTTAAACCACAGGAGATTCTAATACCAAATCTCTGTATATATCAGTCCACTTTAATATATCCTTTTCTGATGGAATGAGAAGATATTAATGTTGAATTACAGTGATATTTCTTAATCTCTGAGAACACTCCCAGTCTTTCAGTCAGAGACCATTCAGTCACTCAGGGGCCCCCTGTCACTACCGTCTCTCAAACGCTAAGGCTGAGGGTCAGCTGCCTTTCGTCACAATGCTTGCCCTGTGGTTTTTCTTGGTGTGAGGTTTAGACAAAGGCAGAATGCTCCTCAGATCCGTATCTTTATCGAAAGTAAGAGAAGGAGAGACAAATCACAGGGTCACAGCATACTTCTTTGTGAAGAATTATTTGTATGCTTAATATGCACATAAATTATACATTTATGTTTTGAAAAACAGCAATAAGCTTAAGACAAACCTAACTTTTTTACCCATTTATACTATCCTGTAAGCAAGTGAGCTTATAACCTAGCCCAGGCTTCTCCTCAATTTAAATATAATTAAGCTCAGAAAATTCAAATGGCTCTCCCTCGGCTCTTGGCCGGTTTTGCTCCAGTTCAGCAAACACCGAACTCCTGGTCACCAAGCTAGGTACTGGGGATATGAGGATACATGAGAAATGCTGGAGAGACACTCACACGAGTACCCTCCCCCGGACACTAGTGAGGACCATGACAAAGGCATGCCAGGTGCTCCAGGGAGGAGAACAGGGGCACTCCAATCAGCTCAGAAAAGGAAATGATACCCAAGATGGGATTTAAAGGATGGCAAAGAGCTCCTCAAGGAAAGGGGAGCAGAGAAGGGAGATCATAAGCAGGGCACTGTACGGGCCTCCAGGTACTCACTCTGTTCACGCTGGGAGAGCTGATGCTCCGCCTACTCAGCTTCCCTTTTCCTGTCAGCTGCTCCTTCACTGCAACTTCCTGTCAGTCGGGAAACAGAGGAACACTACCTGTTAGAGACATACCCCGCAGCCACTGTCAAAGGCAAGCTATGAGCTACCTTCCACAGATAACACTTTCCGAGTTCTGTAGAGGACAGCGCTGCCTGCACCAGAGGAATGGCCCACCAGCGCCGCCGTGCACTGCTGGAAGTGCGTTATACAGCTGACAGGCGAGCCAGACCATTCTCTCCTTCACCTACTGACACCCCCTCCAGCTGACACAAGTCAGTTCCTGAGAAAGATCATGAAAATTAGACCACTCACTGTTATTCTTCATCAGCGTGTTTGGTTAAAAAATAAAAGGTCTTAATGTTGCTAGGTAAAATGAGGTTTAGGGTTTCCCTAAGGATTAAGTTTATTACTGATGGAATTTGTTCTCCCAGAACTTCTAGAAACTTCTCTAATGATACAGCAGGCGTATCCAGCTAAGCAAAGAAGGGCCCACTGTGCCTCATTACTGCATATTTCTTCAGCAACATTACTTCTCCGTATGAAAGAATTTTTAAAATAGTTCTTTAGCCAGCAAGAGTTAAATATTTTCTCCCATTACTTCAAGGTAACTAGATATCATTTAGTGTCCTAGAAAAAGCAACTTTCCAAATGGAGCTTTTGTATCTTCAGAGACTGCACTGGCAGGGTCAAGCTGAATTGCTATGCCCCACGTAAACAGATGCTCCCCGAGTTTACACGTAACAGTGTTGTGAGCTGCAGGAAGCCACACACGGGATCGGGCCCCACTGGCTGACCTGGCGCAGGCGGTCTAAAGTGAGGAGATTCTCCACAGCCAGCACGCTTCTGAGGTATTTCTCAATATACGCCTCTGAGTCAGCAGAAGCCGTGTTTTCAACATTAGCTGCCATTCTTGCTAATGTTTCTCGTTCCTCTACTCCCTGGGCATCCTGGAGAATGGAAGGTTGTGTATTAAAATTGAATACATTGCAGAAGAAAACATTATAAAAGCTTCTCGATCTGCGCAAACACACACACAAACATACACCGAGTACTGAACTAATGAATGGGATGTATTCCCAAGTTCTATTTTAAAGTAAGCTTTGGGAGCTCAAAATGTATTTTCCCACAGAAATCCATGTATAAATGGTGGTCAGGTTGCCTTGAAAGGCTAGTTAAACAGCATAGCTGAAATACCACGTTCTCAACAAAAACTGTTCTGTATTTTATTTCCATCGCAAACAAAGACATTACAGGTTAGAAAGGATTTGGTGGGCTAGCTGGAAATGTAACCACCACAACATTTCAGGAACATATCTTACAGGGCAGGAGAGAAGAATGGGGAGCTGGGGTGACCACTAAGCAGGAGTGGGACCCAAACGCCAGGCACAGGCCAATGTGGGTATGGAGGATGAGAGTGGGAAGAGGCTGGGTTCCCACGCGGGCACTCGGAGGCCTGCTACAGACTGCATGTCCAAGACACGGCAGCCCCCACCACGGGTGTCCCTCCTCAGCGCCGGAGTGGCAGAGAGGAGGAGAAGCAGGAGACCAAGAGGAGAAGCATCTAGGCCAGTGCCCGCTGTGCTTTCTGGTAGAGCCCGACCCGCTCCTCCGCCGTGGGTGGGCCGTGTGTACAAACGGGGTATTCACAAGTCAGGGGGAGAGTTTGCTAATGTGTTTAATCAGGCCAAGCAAACTTAGGTCATAACAAATCACTCTGCTCAGGGAAAATCAGATATTTCACTTGTGAATTTGTTATAATAATGTCAAAAACTACACAATATATATCCATATGTCATTACAACTTAAGATGTCATCAACTTTAAGGGGAAAAAACATCATTTATATACTTCTAAGGAGAAAAAAATTCTGCCGAAAGATTTTAAGATATCATCAGTTATAAGACACATTCTAACTTCAAAAATATTTTTAAAAATGTAAATGAACATTAGAACAGAGAAAATGAAAATAAGGAAGAATTTGGAAGATGGCAAAACTTTTGACTCCTATAATAATGTATCTGAGCCTTTTAATAACCTGGAAAAGAAGAAATCACCTTCCTTTTGTAGATGAGGAAAGAGGAAGGCCAGGTAATTAGCAAAAGAGGCAAGACTAGAACTTCCATCTCCTGCTTCTGATAGAGTGCGTATTTTTTTTAACCACTCAACACAACACTTTTTGGTGTCCGAAGGCAACAGACATTATCCTGATTTCCTAAGAAAGGGGAACCTGAGTTTCAAGAAATGCATCTATCTCCATGCTACCTACACACTTATCAGGATATAAAACATTCCATTTGCCTCAGGAAGTTCATTTATGAGCTTCACCGTCAATCCCTAGCCTTCCTCAAGACACAATAATTTCTTTGACCGCAGACGTTAAGAGTTCCACCTGTTTAAAGTTTCAAATGGAATCATACTGTTTTGTGTTTAGCTTCTCTAACTCAGCGTCGTGACTCTGTGACTCAGCGTCATTCATGCAGTTCATTTCTTTGCATAGCTGGGCAAGATTCCACAGTGTGGAGGTACCACAGTTTATTTCCCATTCATCTGTGGATGGGCATTTGGGTTGTCCCAGTTTCAGGTTATTCTGAATCAGCTGCTACGAATGCTCTTATGCAAGTTTGTACAGACACACGCTTTCCTTCTCTCGGGTAAGGGCGCGGAAGAGGAATTATTGGGCCGTGGGGTATCATTCTGTACTCCCACCAGCAATGGAAGCAACTTTGTTGCTAATTACAAAGAGAGGGGAGGGTGTTTCTTGTTGCCCTCTGGCCTACGGCCCCTTCTTGCCACCAAGCTTCTGCAGTATCATAGGATTGGGTAATGTGAAAATAAAGCCTGCCGACTGAGATGCTTAGCTAATTATTAGCAGGCAGCCCAATCACATGAGGTTGTATGTTTTTCTTTCAGCTGATTCCCCCACATTTCTTCCCTTTAAAGCCGGATCACCCGAAGTATAAGAGCACCCTTAAAGAGGGTAAGGAAACCACGAACAGGAGGGGAGAAGTGAGTGGGACAGAGACAAAGAGGAAAAGGTGACGGTGGCTCACTACAGCTGCCGCTGTTTCTCAGCTGCATTCAGACCATTTGGAGAGTTAAGATATGAAACAACTGGAAACACACAGAAACATTCAGATGCAGAGAACAAACAGCAAGTCTCCAGTTAAACACATAATATACAAAGAGAAACCTATTACAGACCCAAGATTCTGCAGGTAGTCTAACTCCGAAAACAGACTTAACATTTGTTCAGCTGGCTCCAAATTAAATAGTTTAACGGTTAATATTTACTGTGTAAGTCTAACACTTTGAATATCCAGGAAAAAAGTTACTATATGGCAGTGTTTCGTAATACAAGAAATCTAAAATAAAGCCCCAAAACGATGGAATCTTTTTGTTCTTCCAAATGCTGCTCTCTGGATTAAAAGATGTATTTCCTGTATTGTTCAACAACTCAACAGAAATCAATGCACAAATACTGAACCCTCAACAAAGGGAAGGGGGCCGGCGGGAATGGTGTGGCCTAGAGGGAGTGTCCCCCCCCGGGGTCACACCCCAGGGCCCTCTCCTGAGAACGGCATCTGCACCTCCTCACTCCCTCCCCGCTTCAGCCCTGAGCGTGGCAGAGGGACCGCTCTCCCTGCTGCCCATCCCCGCAGGGAAGGCCTCCACTACCACTGGGGCCAGTGCCCGGGGAAATAAGCCTGTCTACATCAGAGGTTACATATTAGGAAGCTGTAAAAACTGTGCCCTCCAATAAGCTTTGGTCCGGGATGTTTTAAAGCTCCATTTGTTTAATTCTTGTAAGTATTTCACTTAGTTCATGAGAGAAATAATAATAAAATCATAACTAAGTTATTATAACAGCAATTACAACTTATAGTTTGGCATATACACAACAATTTGCATGCACAGTCTCATTTAAGCCTTAACCCTGTTCAGAAGGTATCATTAAACTCAGCTGATAAATAAAAAATATTAGGCTCAGAATCACCTACACAAGATTTCTGCTTGATTCCAAAATGACACCCTCAATCTCTCTGCTATGCATCATTACCTCCTTTTGAGGGTTATAATATTACTTTATGTCTTTTAAAAAATATATTGCTTATTAAAGAATAGTTGACATACAATATTACATTAGTTTCAGGTGTTAAACATAGCGATCTGACACTTACACACCTTACAATGTGAGCATCACAGTAAGTCTAGTAACAATCTGCTACCATGCAAAGTCGTCATGGTATTACTATTTCCTCTAAGCTGTCCATTATGTCCCTGTGGCTTTATTTTATAACTGGAGGTTCATACCTCTTATTACTCTTTACCTTTTATGTGTAAAAAGGTGTTGGTTTGCTTTTCAAAACAATGTTCTTCTTTAACAAAATACTAAAACCAGAACTCTTAATGCCAGTAAAGTACATTTTACTGAGCCAAGTTAAGATTAGGAAATTCCTCTAAAAATCTATAGCATTTCCCTAAACATACAGTTCCATTTAGTACATGTTTCTTGGGTAGATGATTTACAGGGTATTAGCTCTTTTTACATGTTTATTTTTAGTAAATTTAAATTTCATGTGATCTTTCACCTCTGGAATATTGGAGACAATTTCAAAAGTCACTCCACAGCCAGGAATAGAACTTCGATGAGACATCTTTTTTAGGAGACTCTGAGCAAAACCCTGGAAAAACAAAATAGAAGATATGGTTTCCCACCTCGAAAACTGAGTTCACATTAACAGAGAAACAGCATAAAGGATACTGAATTCACTCCAGCCAAAAAGAAACAGCATATTTCCAATATACGCAAGTTGAAATCCAAATCCCTAAACACAGGTTTCTCAACTTTGTCTCAGCGCACAAGACCGAGTTTAGGTATCCGTGCATCTACATGTGCGCAGTGGGCGGCAGGTCCTATTCCCAACATGTGGACGGAACAGACCCCACCCTCTGGAAACTGACACTACGCCACCAGTTCAAGCCCGCTTAAAGGCTACAGAAATAAGGCTGTTGACTTCTACACAATAAAATGACCTTCTTGCTAAGATGTAAGCAAGGCCTGGTGACTCTTACACTTTTTTTTTTTTTTTGGCAGCACGATGGACATCTTGTACCATGAATATTGACAAGTTCAGGCATTAAATTCTTGACCAAAGCAGGATCGTTATGAAGAATGATTTAAGAGTGCATGGTCATTGTTTATGCTGACTGCGCTCCTTGCACAGTTCAGAATTGAACTGTTGAATTAATGCATAGATGACTCATTTGAAGATGCTGCTAAGACTGAACATCCTGTAGAGGTTGAAGAGAGCAGGGATGAGGGCAGAATACAATTGGTGAATAAAGATAAGAGAGAATATTAAACTAGCACTGAACCTTTTTCCTCATGCAAAAGGGAAGCAGGAAATATGAGAAAATCTCCAAAGAAAATAGAAAAATCAAACTGCTTCATCTTAGAAACACTATTTTCACAAACCTACTGAATAATTTCAGTCCTATTTAGTAATCTTCAGTTAATTTTTTTAAAAGACTGTAGCTTCTTAGAATGCAAAGAGAACATTTATTTCATCCCTTCACTCTCTTGTCAGCCTTGCAATGTGGAGCCACTGCCAGTCACACTGCTCAGAGTGTAGCTGTGGGTGTGGGGGAACTGTGGGTGCAGGGTAAGTGTGGGTGCAGGGGACGTGTGGGTGCGGGGGACGTGTGGGTGCTGCTGTCATCTTCCTTTCTCGTCTTCTTTGTCTGTGGAATTACCGAAGCCGACATGCATGTACAAGGGTCCTAAAAGGAGGTCCCTGTTCTTGCTGTAAGAAATTAAATCTCTGAAAGAGGGAGGACACCGCCATGCCCTAAAACACTATTATTTCATTCAGTATCAATTTGATATTATCAAATCATTTCAACCGGGGGGAAATGTGGCAAGTCCTTGTCCCAACAACAAAAAATTTAAAAAATAAAAACAAGGAAAACTTGGTGACAGCATGAAGTGCCCTTTCTATTAAAAATTCTATGCAGCTGGTGCTGGCTCTGTCTCAGTGGCTGGCAACCAGAATCTCCAGTTCTGAAGTGGCAAATAACTCTTCAAAACTCTCCCCGGGAACAGTGCGTCTTTTTCAACCCCTGAAAGCTTTCCGAGAAGAGGGAGGCCGAGAAAAGAGTGAGTGGGAGACACACCATATGCATCTATGGCTAACCCGACGACCTGGGTTATACTGATGTTGGATTGCCCAGCTAAAGAGCGGCAGTTTTAACAGCATTATCGCTAGTCTTCATTTCAAAGACTAATATCCGTGTGACATTTAGAACTAAAGATTAATTTTTAGGGATGGAGATTACATCTAGGACTCCATCAACCATGACTGTGCTCTTTTAAATGAAAAGACTTATGTTCATCTGTTCTGGTTTGAGTCAGTGCATTGAGAAGACCTCAGAAGAGTGAGCACAGGCAGTTAAAAAGAATCCCTAGAACCAGCCTCCCAAATCCTATAGTTGCAAAACCAACAACAGAAATACTTCACACCCACCTAGAAATGTTCTGCTGAGCCCCTCACACGGCACCAGGCCCTCTGTGACCTGTCTGCAGCTGCAAGGACAGCCACAGCCCTGGCCTCTGCAGCACACCCTGCCGTGCCCTCCCCACCCACACTGCCCTGCACTGCATTTCCCCCTCCCCAAGAACAGCCAGCAGTGCCTTCCTGGTCTGTACACAAGCAGTTCCCACGCTCCTCTTCTCTCTGAAGCCTGCCCTGACTGCTTCTGTCTGCCTCGTCCCCTCTGCTCCTGCGACCTCCAGCACACAGTGGGCACCTGCATCAGGGCGCCTTCACAGCAAAGCAGAGGCACCTGTCTGTGCATCTGCATAGACCCATGCCAAGGGGCACGGGCTCTCTAAGGACAGAGCCTGCTTCTTACTCACCTTTTACCCCGAAGCCTGACAGGGTACACTTCCTAAATTTATGAATCAGCAGATGAGTGGAGATGACTGAAAGAGAGGAAAGGTATGGAAAGCAAAGGGTGCTTTGCACAAACAAAGGCTAACTGCAGGGAACCTTCTCATCCTGTCGGACCCAGATGAAAAGTCAAAACACACAAAGAGGACTTCACCTGGATGAGGCCCTGTGACACCCCAGAAAATGGCAGTCAAGTGTGAACATGCTGTCAGAAAGATTCTGTGTGACAATCTACTACCGTCTGAGAGGCAGTCAGGGTGACGTGTTCTGGAACTGACGCCAGCACAGTTACAGGACAGGGAGAGTTTCCCTGAAAAGAAGAGCTCAGTGACTCACAGCGCTTGTGGGGACAGGAGGCCAGAGCAGTCACTCCACGGCCCTGCCCTCACGTCAGGCATGTAGTTCAAGTCATTTCTTCAGCTGGGATTAATGCCTCACCTGCCGCCCATGAACACTGACGCAGATCCGTTTGCGTAATACCAGCTGCATGTCAGCTGGATGGCTGAGCTGGACCGTCACCCGCACAATCAGAAACACTCGCTCATCCACAGGGGTGCCTTTACTGAGCTGAGGACAACTGTGCACTGCGGAGTCCCAGGAGGCTTCTGCTTTCACCTGCACAGAAGACAGAAAGAACATGCTTCTCCAACTCCTAACAACAAAAAGCCTGACAAAGAAACACCGTGGCTGGGGCTGCACTGCTGCGTGCCCGTCATGGGGGAGTCTTGAGGAGACCTGCCCTGCAAAGCCGTGGGACAGGAGGATGCGGCCTCAACCAGCCCAGGCTGGGAAGTATGGAGCAGAATGTTCTTGGCTGGCTGGCTGGCTGGCTGGCTTTGAAATTTTTATTTTGAAAAATGTTCAAATATAAAAAAAATTTGCAAATTCAGTACAATGAATTCCTTGTATCTTTCATCTAGTTTCATCAGCTGCTAACACTTGCCACTTTTCCCTTCCTCTTTCTCACAACACATGCACACACAGTACTATTAATATTGTTGTTATTATTTGCTGGATTGCTTTAGAGTAAGTTACAGACATATAACTCTATAGCCCTACATACTTCAGCAACTATCATCTGAGCGCAAGGGCATCCCTGACTTAACCATTGGGCAATTATCATATTCAGGAAATTTAACATCAATATAATATTACTGTATATTGTAACATAGAGTCCAAACTCAAATTTTCCAACCGTTCCAGCCCAGGATCACAAATGACATTTAGTTGTCACTGTCCCTTCAGTCTACTCTCATGTGAAATGGCTCTGCAGCCTTCTCTGCTCACTAGTTACACAGACTTACCAAGGAAGGGTGCAGGCCCTCCCTTTCACAGAGCGGGCAGCACCTGGGTTTGTCTGATTGTTTCCGCCCTGTGAGACTCAGGTTTCACAGCTTAGTTGTACCCCTAGGTGATGTGAGCTTTAAAGCATCCTTTCAGCCTTCTTCCTTAGAATAGTTTCTAATTTTTCTAATATACTCCAAATTTTAAAATGAGCCCCCTCAGATTCATCACTCAGATTCAAACATTATTAGGATTTTGCCACACTGGCTTCACTGATTTTTTTTTCCTTTTTAAAAAGCTTTACTGAAGAATTTCAAAGCAAACCCCAAGCAGGGCGTCATTTCCCTAGGGAGCGGACCGCGGCTGACCTGGCCTGCGCACACTAACGGAGCCTTCACCAGGAGAGGAAACGCAGTGGCGGTGGACGTGACCTGACGGGCCACTCCTGCAGGGGGTGGTTCCCTGCTTTCTGGAAGTCATAATGAAAAGTCTTCATTTATGTTTCTTGAGAAATGTAAGTACTGAAATAACGACCTTGCTGATTGTTTCAAAAGGCTCATGGAAAGGTTAAAGAAACTACTCTTCATCCAGTCCTCCCAAGTGAGGTTTTATTTACCTCCCCATCGTGCTGTTTCACAATCTGCAATTCAAAGAACTCGTCCTCTTCTTCCCCCGTGAGGGTAGCATCCCATCCACCAGCTTCCGGGTCATCAAGATTATCCTGAGAGCTGAAATCATCAGCTGAAATCAAAGCAGTTCCATTCAGTACGAAGATCCTTTTAAAGGATAACCCCCTACCAGTTAAATCTCAAAGTGCTTAGTATTAAAATTCTTCTGCCTCAAATTTCATTCTTTTGGCTCTAAGATCTTACATGACACGGGTGATGACCATTAAAACAGCTCACAGATCTTAGAGACGAACAGTGCCTCGAGAAATTATCTTATCCCATCTCCTACCTTTAAGCCTTATTCTCCATGAAAGAGGCAACTGAAGCCAAAATACCCCAAGGGGTTACTCAAAGTCAGTCCATAAATGTTAATGATAAGATTACAACCCAAACTCCCCACACTTTAGTGCACTGAAGAAACGAGAAGTGAAAGTGATTCCAATTATCTGACAGTTAAGTTCAACAAGAGAAGTCATTGGCTACATGAACCAGAAACTGGAGTGTTGCCCTGTGCTCTCCCAACTCTCTATCCATCATAAGCTTGTGTCTCTTTTAGTATGTGGACTTAGGCTGACCAAGAATGGGCAGAAGGCTGACCAAGGTCCCGATCATGTCTAGGAATATCCATACCAACTGGTCTTCTTTAGAGTTAGTCTTCTCCACTTTCTTACCCTCTCTCCCTCTCTCTCCGCCCCCCCGCAATCCCCCCTCATCTTACCTAGCCAGGAACCCAATGTAAGACTAGGCCAGAGTCACCCTCAGACTCCAAGCCTCAAGAGAACATGGTAGGAGAGGGCGCTGCAGCAATACATGAGAACCGCATCAAGTGGACGGATGGCAGAAATGGGTCTTCCATGTGTCTAAATGAACTAAGGGGGTTGCGATGCTGAAACCTCCGATATCATAACTCACTCCCAGCCAGGGGAGAGAAAAACCTGAGGACATTCAATGTTGTCCATTTAGGGTAGTTCATTTTAATCCATAGTTCTTCTGTACATGTTTTAGGAATTTAACTGCTGACTTTGAACTTATATTTACCTTTAATCCACCTTTTCATCTTTCCCCTCCTTAGACAGAGTATATGTAAGATGTAGCCATATCCAAAATATTTTACATGACAGGAAAATGTCAGAAAAAATGACACATTAAAAAACAGGCAGTCCTGACTGGTATGGCCCAGTGGGTTGCACATGGTCCCACAAGCTGAAAGGTCACCCGTTCGGTTTCCAGGGGGCACGTGCCTGGGTTGCAGGCCCGGTCCCTGATTGGGGGTGTGCGAGAGGCAGCTGATCAATGTTTCTCTCGCACACTGATGCATCTCTCCCTCTCTTTCTCCCTCCCTTCCCCTCTCTCTAAAAATAAATACATGAAGTCTTTTTAAAATAGACAATATAGGAATGAATGACATAAAAACTCACAGAAAAAGTGAGAAACTTATTAGGTAATGCTAAGGAAGCAGCAGATAAAAGAAAACAGGCTACACAAGCAATCACTAGTTATTAGTCCTTTTCAGAGAGAAGTTTCTCCTAAGAATTAAAGAAGAAAATATTTTAAGTGCACTTAACTTCCCAAACTGATGAAAGAACGAAGCACAGGCACAGCACTATGGGTTACAGAATGAAATGTGAGCACATATCACGATGAAACATACCTATTATTGTTACAAGATACTGTTCTTACAGAAAAGTCACTCCTGGCCAAGTGTCAGAGTCCTTTGGCACATATAAAATGAACTTTAATCTTAGGCTTAGAGAACCGCCTAAATGCATACTTTATTAGAATCTAAGGGTTGCACGGACACTAATTCACAGAGGTAGGCCTTCAGGAAGCACCTGCTGACTTACCATTTAGGTCAAGGAATATAACAGGAATGTGTGTTTCCATCCCAGGAACCGGGGTCCTAAAACATAATGAACAAATCACATGCAGACTGTCTCAGCAGCATGTACTTCGTGACACAGCCATAATATAAAGTCAGAGCTGGCCCAGGTCAGGCCAATCACAACTCTGCTGTTGGCTTTGCTATAATTTCACATCAGAGATGCCACAGACTTAACTACAAGTGCTGTGTCTCTCCACCAGTGCTCTCGTGCATCATTACCATGCGCTCTGGAACTAGAAAGCAGTCTTCTAAGACACGTAGACCTGTTTATAAATGAGGCTCCCCTGTGTGAAGTTACTCTCTTATAAAATTATATCCTTAAGGGCCCTATATGGATTAATTTACTATTTTTAATTTCTATAAAGTGGCACAGAAATTTGCTGACAGTACAGTTTCAGAGAGCACCCAAACCAAAAACTCCTAGAGATGCAATTTTACAATGACCGAATGGTCTTTTAAGGGAATGACCCAAGTAATTAACATATTAACTATTTTTTTAAATGCTAAGTGCACTTGTACTAAATATTGATTTAGATTCTCAGAAATCTTAATTATTTGAGCCAATAACAATATTATTTAATAAAACAGTTTTAGGCCATCATTATTCCATCTCATGAAAATAATTTAACACTTCCTCTAATTCAAACAACTTTTTCCCCATATGCTATAATAAGTCTCCCATTAATTAAAGCGCAGGCAAAAATCATATGGAAAGCAGCTGGCTTATTTAGAAGTTCAGCAGGAGACACACGGCGGCATCTGTACCATTCTGCCGGGGCCCCAGGAATCCCACTGCCGGCGGAGGGGACCATGACTGCATTCCTTTCTTCAGTTAGAGTCAGCCTCATCTCCAGCAGCTGAGCTTCGCGGTCAGCATCATCTTCTGTTTTATCTAGAACATCAGGAATGAGGATCCAATAAGGTTATCTCACTTGCTACTTACACTTTTGTCCTGTGTAGCGACGGGCTTTTCCATTTCAATTACTGGTAGATGAGGGTTCATAGAAACTTGTGACTTCCCTAATTCATGATAAAAGCTGTGCGATAAGAAAACCATAAGCGAGAAAGGTTGGTGTGCTCTCGCAGAGGCCATCCTCAGTTCATGGAGAAGCACATGAATGACTCCTCCCGAGTCAGAGCGTTCAAGTGCTTTTGGACAATAAATCAAGAAACGTTATTTTTGAGGGACAATATGCACTTTGTGTGCTGTATTTTCTCTTTCTTTGTTGGGGGCTGTGGGAGACCTATGGGAAGATGTCATTACAATTAGATGAATGTTCTTTTGAACGGATATGGCACAAATAGCATTCCTACGCTCTAGCCATCCCCGTAATTGGTGTCTTAATCTACTTCTAATTCATGTGGTTGCAAATGGGGATTCATTATGCCCTGATACAGGGGAAAGGAAGTATTTAACTTGCTTTTCCTACCATGTTTACTGACAAGCTTTTGCAGTTGTTGATCTAAGTACTCCTGACGTTTTGTTAACGCATTTAGCCATTTTCTACGTAGTCTCTCTAAATCCCGATCCTGGAAGAAAACAAGGAAAATGACAGGATATACAATGCGTAGACAATATATCTGAAACTGATGCTCTATCTTACATTACTCTAATGTGCTTTGAAAATGTTAAGTATCATTACTAATGTCTTTATTACCACCAGTAGTTGACTCCAACCATCATTCAGAATAGAAACTTTCAGAAATTAAAGCATTATTGTTCTAGAGTAAGACTTTCTGAGAGACTTTCTGACATCAGATGTTCTTTGATGTCCAGAACAAGTTTTTTCCTATTGGTTCAATGTGTAAAACTCCAGGCACTTGCAACTAAGATCTTCTACGAGGTCTCTTTAAGCTGGATAAAACCACCACTACTACTCAATAATCTTCATAGTTACATCCCTGAGAACGATCATAACGATTCTTCAAAGTTCTTCACTCCAGCCTTCAGCATGTTTCATTAGTCTTTACAAACAACCTGTAAATGCTTCTTGCCCTTGTTTTGGTGGGAGGAGGGGAGAGGGACCAGGGGCCATTACCAACAGCCAAACATCTCTACCAGTCAACACCTGACTACATACCGATCTTACCTCATTTCCTTTTGTAACGAAGTTACAAGATTGGGTAGATCAGTGGAATGCTGTGGAACTGGTGTGTATCTGGATTTCACTAAGGCACTTAACCAAATAGCTCAAGACATTCTTGTGGACAAGATGGAGAAATGTATAATGAATCTATTTGAATGAAATCAGAAATGACTGAAATATCACATCCCAAGAACAGTGATTAATGGAATAACGTCAGCTTAAAAGAAGTCTCTGTTGTTGTGCCACAGGACTTTGTATTTAACCCCCTCTGACACAACATTTTTATCAGTGACTTATATAGGAAGGCAGACATTTTTATCCAATTAGGATGATGCAAAACCAGGAGAGTGACTACACTGGATGACATAATGGGGATCCGAAGAGCTCTGAGCGTCCTGACAAGACTAACAAGATAAAACTTAGCAGACATAAACCAAATCCTGCAGGAGATTAGGGAAAGGGGAGGGCAGGAGGAGAAACAAAACCCAATGTGTATGACTCCATGCCGTGGGGAAGAAAGACCCGGCCTACAACAAGGAAAACCTCTGGGCGCAAGGCTTGACTGAAGACCAGTGCGACACAGCTCTCCTAGGAAAAGAGGTAGGTGACGCCACTCACGGAGAGACAGAGCAAGGGAGAGAATCTGGAGAGACAGATCTCCAGACTCCTGGACTCCCGGACTCCTGTAGGAAACCTGGATGGGGAGACTCCAGGTTTGGAAAAGGGTAATGGTCACAAATAATTTTCCCACACTAAACTGACTTTCTAGTCTATGGCTTTTGTCTGTCAAACACTCATGGTTCCCCACACTGTTTTAATTTGAGAAAAAGCAATATTTGAACCAAATTTAGTTGTGTCATTATTAAATAACAATACAGGAATGAGTGATTCAGTACTTTAATCAGGCTATTTTGGTGAGGCTAACAGGTGCCTCATTACCTGGTAGCTGTCCATGTCCTCCTCTTCCTCCTAAAAGAGAAAAATACATGATGGAGAACCAAAACAATTGTCCAAGAATCAGTCTACACTAAACAATCTGAATCTTTTCCCATACTTTCTATTTTCTCATTTAATGAATATATTGCTTCATCTTCCACCTGTGCTCACCCTTGCTCTAGGTTTTATAGTGTTCAGGAAGTTGGAGTAAAACCTTGAGTTTCTCCTAGGAAAGTGAAAAACACGTATTTGACCTTTTCTGGAACCAGTACAATACTCCCCCTGCTGCGTCTGTAGTCCCACTCCCCAGGGGAAATCAAACACCTGCTGGCAAATAGTCTTCAGGAGCCAGTAGGGGGTTTCTGCAGAGGGGTGGTGATGGGGGAGGTTAGTTTCTGGCGGCTGAGATGTTTTGTTAACCCTCAGTTTGCCACGTACCAGGGCAAAACCTACAGTGTGGTGCAATGAGGCCATGCAGATACAATACAATTTTTTTTAAAGGCATCAAAGGAAAACAACAGAAATACTGAAAGAATCACTCGCAGAAGGCAGGTTTCTGACAGGTCCCCAGAGGCTCTCTTGTCTGGCTGGGTCTTTCAACAAGAACACCACAGGCACAGACACTTACATGGAAGGTCTCCTGTGTCCTGGGGGATCTGAGTGCTCTAACTTTTACACATCCGATTCCAACAGACAATATGCATTCTTCCATCAGAGGTAACGTCCCGGACTCCTGCACAGTCTTCACTTCCACTTGGACTCGCCGGGACTGCCCCTGCATCACAGACAATTTGAACAGTTTCTTAAAAGCACTTCAATTCCTAAAAGTTTGGTGTAGAGAGACCCCTACAGGCTGATGTTGGGAAAAGCATTTAACTTGGAGCCACTGTCTCATGGTACCTTAAATGTTAAATAGTAAACTACAAATTGAAATATTAATCATGAAAAAGTATTTATCTTTTAAGTATATAGAAAGACACACACAAATATATAGTTTAAATATTTTTCAACAAAAAGAAACATTAAAAGAAAACATTCTAGAGAGCAAACAGCTAGTCAATAAAAAATGTTCAGCTTACTAATAATCAAATACAAAATAAAATGAACAAGATACACACTTATTTCCACTTACTAAGCTTGCAATTATCTTTTTAAAAAGGCAACTTCCAACATTGCCCAAAGTAACTACATACATTATTGGCAGGAATATAAGTTGGTAAAGCTTTCTGCAGAGCAATTTGCCTTAAAAATGTAAGTTTTCCTTGATCTCGCAATTTGACTTTCCAGGAATCTCTTCTAAGTAAATAATCATGTATGTACATAAAGAATTGTAAAGTAATGTGAAGAATAACAAAAAATTAGTTACAAATTAAATGTATAATATTGATAACTACTTACACTCTACTATAGGTAATAAAATGTTAGTCATTAAAATATGGCTGTAGAAAAACGGACAGTTAAAGTTTAAAGAGTATGGTGACAGATGTTAACCAGACTTTTAAAGAAGAGTAGGCTGCCAAACCAGAACATGTAATAGAACTTACTTTAAAAAATAAGCAAAGTAGAAATAAGAATGATTACTACTATCCTGGATCCGCTGCTTTAATCCCAAAATAAAACAATTTTAAAGAGAGCTGCAAAAGGAAGAATGATAAAAGAGAACCTATCTCTTCTTAAGCATATTTTCAGAATACTGTGTGGTTGTATATTTACAACCAATGTGTTTTTTAAATTTCCAGAATTCCCAAATTATTGACTTCAAAGTTGGTTTATAAATCCTAGAATTATAAAATACAATTTAAAAAATGGATTTTGAATATACAATTTCAAGTTAGTTACTCTTCCCCTCTTCCATCAGATTTTAATTCCCAAGAGCTTTGCTTACATTATCAGTAAAACCAGCTAAGGTACTGACCGACCTAACAAACTAGATTTGAAAAGACAGGCTACTGCTGTCTTCTGATTAAATCTTTTCCAAGGACTATGCATCAGATCTTTTGTGAAGAGAGTACCTCGGGAAACATTTTAATTGTTTAGAACAGTTCAGTCATTTTAATTACCTACCTTTTGTTTATTTACTTTGCCTAAGAGATAAAGTGGTCTATTTTAATTTTTAAGTTGATTTTAGGGAGAGAAAGGGAGGGAAGAAGGGAGAAAGAGAGGGGTGGTGGGAGAGAGAGAGAATAAGAGAAAGAGAGAAAGAGGGAGAAACATCAGTTTTTGTTGTTCCACTCATGTATTTCACTGGTTGAGTCTTGTATGTGCCCTGACCGTATTTGATCGGGCTGACACTCTGACCAACTGAGCATCCTGGCCAGGTCGAAAGTGGTCTGCTTTACCTGTGTGCCCAAATGTGGAAAGTGGAATACATACTTGGATACTTTGGGGAGAAATCAAGGTAAGGAAGGGGGAAAAGATCCAGGAATGGCTACACGTCCCATAGAAAAAGTATGTGTAAACTATTAGAATGAACTTCTTACAACTGCTGATATTTGACTATTTTTAAATATACAACTAGAAATTTCATATGTTGACCTAATCAGTTTTCTTCAGCCATTTTTCTGTTCAAGAATAATAGTTCCAGCTTTAAAAGATATTAAATTCAATGAGCCCATCACCCACAGCCCTCCATGAACTAACTGCCTGCCACATGCTTCTATAACCTCTGCTTCCAGCTCCTTCCATGTTATTTTCTACCTAAACTTACCTAATTCCAGCCTCTGTATGTTTATTCTTTATTGTTGCCATTTACATATAAAACACCTTTCCAGCCTTTGCATGATTCTTTCAGCATCCAGGTCAAGATGCACATCCTTCAAAAGAAGTCTTTCCTGATAAACTCAAAATATCTTTGAACATTGATAATAAAGATCACAGGAACTATGACAAATACTCAAATATTCCCTTTACACTGAACCACAAAAAACTTATCTGATCTGGCCTTCCAGGAGATGCATTTCTAAGGCATCTAAAAAAGATATATATAGCTTCAACACATGTTCAGAAAAAGATGTTCTTCACACCCTTAAGAATCCTATTTTATATGTATAACTCATGCTATAATTTAAACTAATTTCCTTTTGCTTTTAGTTCCTTGACCATATATGAATGAATTTACTAAAATTCATTTGCTGGGGTCAGAAAATAAGTGCTTATCATCTTCCTTCTATTCAAACATTGAGGAATTTAAATATTTAAGCAAACTGTCTTTGTCCTTTAACCTGTTCTCATATTTTGCTTTGAATGATTTCAACATTCATTTCCTACAGCTATTCTAGTGTTTCACTATTGTTCTAAAGCATGGAAACTATCACAGGATGCAATATTCTACTAAATGTTGAATTAATGTAAAGCATGGCAAAAAAAAAAGAGTATTGCCAAATCTCCTGAAGAGAAGATATTTTTTCTTTTCTTGAGTGGCACAGACACTCGAGATCTCAACCTGCCTGGGGGTCAGTGATGATTCCCACCTACCTTCCTGCTATACCGATTTCTGGCAGGTGTGCCCATCTACCTGGTGTCATTTATTTAACACCTCCTGTGCTATCATAAATTGACATTTGGTCTCTGTTCTTAGTTCCTGGCAGACAGCTCCTAAAACTCTCGGAGGTTCCTAAGTGTTAATAGTTATAGGCCCATCTTTTAATGAAGTGACTTTTAATTTATCAACTCTTGGAAGACTGCCAGATAGCTTCAAGAGGGGGCCGGTCATCAGAAAGACTAAGCCTTGGTTAGAAGTTGGAGCTCTCAGCGGCACCCCTCGGGGACAGCGGTGAGAGGGGGTGGGGACTGAGTATTGCCAAAGGCCAGTGCTGTCCTCAATCACGCCTACGTCACGGAACAGCCATAAAAACTTGCAAAAGGTGGGGTTTGGAGAGCTTCCTGTTGATGAACAGATCTAAGTGCTGGGAAGCTGTCACACCCAGAGAAGACATGGGCGCTCATCCCATACCTTGCCCACCCATGCATTTCTTTCCATTTGGCTGTTCCTGCACTATATCCTTTATAATCAACTGGTAACAGTATGTAAGAGGCTTTCCCAAGTTTTGTGAGTCATTCTAGCAAGTTATCAAACCTAAGGAGGAGAGTTGTAGGAACCCTTGACTTTGTAGCCAAATCAAACAGAAGCATGGGTAACCTGGGAACCTGACACTTGCAGCTGGTACCTGAAGTGAGGGTAGTCTTGTGATTAAGTCTGCACCCTTAAACCTGTGGGGTCTGAGCTAACTTCGGCAGTTAAGGTCCAAACTGAATTGAATTGCAGGACACCCACCTGGTGTATGCGGAAAACTAGTTGGTGTCAAGAGGAAAAAATACTTCTCACCTCCCATGTACCAAGCACTGTACTTCATGTACAATATCACTAATTTTCACACCAGTCCTACAAAGTCGGTATTATCACCACCTCCAGGTTCCACCTGAGAAAAGGTTCTGAGAGGTGACTGGACTTGCTCACGGATGCTCAGCTAAGCCACGGGAGACCCAAGGCTGAACCCTAGCACATTAAAACTCTGGAGGTTTGTTCTTTCTGCCACGTCACATTATTTCTCCTTGTCTTTGTAAATATTCTAATGCTGCTTAATATGTTTTCCTTATTTTGTACAATTCAATTTTAAGTGGTTCTTTAAAGCTTGTCTCCTTCTTACTTAAACCTAACAAAAGCTGGTTTTAAAATATTATAAATAGAAATATTTTTTTAAATTAAAGAAAATACACATGAAGTAGATGATTTTAACACCAGAAATGGAGTTGGCCATCTAGCTTTAATTACCACTGACATTTCTATAAAAAGAAATCTAATATTCAGCTTTATGGTACCAAGGAATTTAATGTGAACATTCAGAATAACACTCATAATGTTACCTGCCGGAGCTGGAAGATGCCTCCTGTAGGCACGTCCTTTGCAGAAATTACTTCCACAGGGCAGTATTCACCATTCTCATTCTGTTCCAGAATTTGAACCCAGAATTCCATTTTCCTGGTGACTTCACTCCATCTAGGAAATAGTTGAAATTCTTGGAATGTCATACATTTCTAAGTCAATAGCAGGTTAGGCTCTTATACTTGAGAATTAACAACAATAATGATTTCCAAAACAAGTAACTCAATAGAATGATCTGTAGTTCAGTGAGTAATATGCAAGTACATATTAACAAATATAATTAAAAGCAAACTTAAACAAACAGTATCAGAACTAAGGCTGCACTTTCAGGGATCGTTTCTATAGCTCATTTCTAGAAAAGCTTCTCTGAACATTCGGAGCACCAGAACTCTAAATGGTTCCTTTATTTTGTTCAAAAATGTGTGATAATTACAAGTCTATTTCAAAGTGATTATTTAAAAATCTAAACACTGTAACCAGTTGGACAGAAGCAAGTGGAGTGATTATCTTTTCATAAATAGATAAAGGTAGTGCTGTATGCTTTACTGACTTGACATGTATCTTTGCTCACATCAAAGAGCATCAGGGAAAAAAATCTCAATGCCTAATTTAGTATTTGCTAAATGTTCTAAATGCCACAAAACGAAAATCTGGTTCTTATTTATAATAGGTGAAAAGTACAAGTATATGCACTTTCGGTAATTTCTTTTAACTCTTCTTTTTAAAAATCCTGGTCGACAAATGAGCCTGCCCCCTCCCATCACTGAAGCCAGCTGAAAAGAACTTCAAGCTGAAGAAGAACAAGCAAGCCTGAATTCTAGAGTACACCATGGTCCCTTTCTCTACAGTTGATTAATTAGAAGTAATTCATAATGATAAACCATTTATCCTCCAAAAATTTACTTCACTCTTTATTCTTAATTACCCATATATTTAACTCTCTTCTACCACTCTTCCAAGTTCACTTCTCTGAAGAAGTTTAATTGTGCTATTAATACCCTGGCAACACCACCATCCATTCCTGGAAGAGTGATAATGCTGAGGAAAGGAAACCCTTTATAAGTGGCAGTAATAATCCCTATCACTTTGTAAAAATTGTAAATGGAATCAGATGGATATCTTAGATTCACCTGTCCCGAAGACTACGTGTTTTTGCTTGGATAATCCCCAGATCCCACAGGGCTGGGTTTCTCCGAGGATCAGTCACTTTATGGCCATATATTTCAATTGCCAACGCCCCTTCTGAAAGGTGTTCAATAAAGTCTTCAGTGATGTTAACAGAAAACTCCTAAAAGAAAATAATTACAGAAGAGGAAATACTTTCTGGCAACCTTATGACTACTTATACCCACCACCATATATTTACATCCCCACAAAGAAGAGAAAGAGGAAAGAATGTTTCAGTTACAGAACTGCTGTTACAGTACATCCATAATGAATGCTCATGTGGTCTAAGGTTCTAGACTGTAAAAATAATTTAACTCTGATTTCTAGATGTTTCACCTTGAAAATCTATTGTAAAAGATCAGCATTATATTCTATTTTGTCAGCAATACTTTGGGAGCCATTTTAAAGAGTATAAACAATTGTATTAAGAATTACAAAATGAGCCCTGGCTGGCGTAGCTCAGTGGGTTGAGCGCAGGCTGCGAACCAAAGCATTGTAGGTTCGATTCCCAGTCAGGGCACATGCCTGGGTTGCAGGCCACAGCCCCCAGCAACCGCACATTGATGTTTCTCTCTCTCTCTTTCTCCCTCCCTCCCCTCTCTAAAAATAAATAAAAATAAAATCTTTAAAAAAAAAAGAATTACAACAATGGTCTACAATGTCTTGATATAAAAGTTATTATATGCAGTAAGGTAGCAGTGTGTTGGAAAAACAATTTTTCCCAGTTTTTAGGATGCTATCTTCAATAATAGGGGAAGAAGGAAATAAATAATGATCATCAGTACAAAAAAAATTCACCTAATTTTTAAAAATTCTCCCAACCTGTCCATCTTTACAAGATAGATTTAAGACAGCATTTTGCAATAGTTAAGATTAATCTCTGAAACAGTTTATTTTTAAAAGTGATAGAATCTCCATCTCTTTCTCTGTCTTGATCTTTAACATACTAAAGGTATTTCTAGGTTTTAAGCGGATTAGAAAAAGGCTTCTCTCTTGAAAAAATGAGATAGCTTAACTGTGCCACAGTTAGAAAAAAGCATCTGAAATCCGACAGTCCTGGCTCTGCCAGTTACTAGCATGGGCACACGGACGTCTCTGAAGCCGGCCGCTTCTGCTGAGAAAGAGCACACTCATCAAACACAACTGCGGTGAGGACCGAATGAGAGACATTTGAGGGCCTGGAAGAGCAGTGGGTGCTCAGTAAAGTTAGTTCTTGTCCCTCTTCAGTCCTCCCTGTCTCCAAACGACTAGTTCCTTCACCTTTTCAGATGACAATTTCTCCGATAATCTAATACGAAACATGGATTCCTTCTGGGGAAGAGCACACATATGTACACATACATACACATATGTGAGTATATATACGTATTCACAAAAAAGTTAAGTTTTGATCGTGGAGGAGCTAAATGCATTGACACTTTGGTGTTTTTACCCCCCAGCTTTACTGAGACCCCCCATCCTTTACTGAGACATAACTGGCATATAATATTGTGTAAGTTTAAGGTATATTATTGATAGTGAACATTTCAGATTTTTACTACAGTACAATCCCCAGAAATGCTGATCCAAAGCACATATCGGAACAAAGCTATTCAATAAAATGGGCTTACTTTATTGTTTTGTTTTTGCTTGAGTGAATTAGACACGGGCCAGGTCTGGAAAACAAACTTACATGGCAATGATCAAAGACAACCATGCACTGAGGTTCCTTGCTAACAGGAGAGGACGAGGTATCCATTTCAGTCTCAACCATGACCGGCTCCTGCTGGTCCCAGAAGCTGTATTTGCAGAATACAGAGTGGGACAGATGCTGTGGTAATCCAGTGGCTTGGAGTATTTTAACCTGAAAGAAAAGGGAGGTTCTGTTAGTTTCTAGAAAAGTATTTCTTGGAACTTTCTGAGACACATGGACTCCAGTCCTGACTGTGTCGCACTAACTGTGGGTCTATGTTGACCACATCCCATTCACTCTGGGGCTGTATCTCTGCATCTGTGCAATGGTGACAGCAGTCATATTTAGCAAGAGGCTGACCGAGGGTGACATCCTTGACTATAAAGGTGGACATTTTAAAGCATTTATAGGCTAATGAAAAATACAAATTCTAGTTCCTTATAACATCATCATCACCATCATCATCTTATAATAATCAACTCAGAAGACAAAAGTTCTCAAACATCAATACCATTCAATGATGCAAATGTGGCTAATGGATATATCATAAAAACGCAAGATTATCAACAAGAATGATGAATGAAGAACAAAATCAGTATGTGCCAATAAACGTTAAATATTCAGAAAGAGGCAAAAAGGTTATTTGATATTTTAAAGTATAAAAAGAAACAAGGTTCTCAAGTCGAATATTACATGCTACTAGAGCATTTTGGGGAAAACAATAAAGGTATTAGGAATGTATACTTCAGAGATGTGGAGGGGTGAAGAATGATGGAGATCAAAGATGGTACACGCTGACCATTCTCTCTGCACCAACATTTAATGAATGCTTTTCCCATGCACATTTAGGGAGGAGAGACAAATTAAAACACACACACACACACACACACACACACACACACACACACGTGCCCTGGACTGCAGAAGTGTAGGATTTTGTGACAATCACGTGCAATTAGAAATACGTCTAATCAGACCCAAATGTCTCCAAAGAAATACCCATAGTAGCTTTTAAAGTAGCCAAATATTCTAAATATTTCTTTTGATAAGTAGCATCAAATTGAGTTTTTAAGCTAAAGTTTTTGCGACTTTGAATTTGTAATATTTTAAAACTCCTCCAACTATGAAGGAAACTATACCCTAAGATTAAGCTAAACAAAATTCTGATTTTATAACTGACTAGGCCAACTTTCATATGACTGGACACTGACCGTTTGTTTATTCTTCACCTGGTCACATCCTTGCACGTTGTAGAATGCACAACACTAGATCTGAGTGTGTGACAGAAATTGATACAGTTCAGCACCACAAATACAAAGGTCTTAACACTTCAGGAAGCCTTAATAATGACACAGAAAATCTCACAAAGCAAATGATTTTATTTTCTTCTACACCAGGTCCACAATGGGGAAGCAATGAATGGGAACTCCTGCTATTATCCAATTTTTCCCATGATGGCAACAAGAATTTGAAAAATCTAGACAGCAATTCCCTGAAAGACTGTGAAAGATGGATTAACAAACACATTTTATTCATCCAAACCAAATATAGTAATCTGTATTCAGCATTTAATTTTTTGTTAAAATTTTTTTAAACTATTACTTTTTCATTAAGTACTGAAAGTGCTTATTATATTCGTTAAGGTGAGGTAATGTATTTGGGAAGATTACAAGACTTTGGAGTACATAGATCTAAATAAGTATCTCTGTCACTTATTAGCGTATGTTTTTGAGCGAATTACTTAACATCTTAGTTTTCATAGGCTTAGTTTTCCTCCTAGGCAAACAGGACAGCTACCTGATAACAATGGTGTGAGGACGACCATTACCAAGGAACAAAATGAATGAAACACTACCAGGCCTTGAGCACCTCCTTGTGACTGAATTCCATCTGAAAGTCATTTTGTTTCTTAGACATTAGTTCATTTTTAAGGTCGAAATAAACAAGAAAACAAGATTTCACATACTGAGCTCTTCCCTACAGGCAACTTCTCAGGAAAGGGACAGCCAGGAATGAGGAACATCCTGATGTCTAGAACATAGGTTTTGTGCTTTTTTTGTTTTTGCCTACAGAAACCAAAAATCACCACAAGGTGTCAGAATACCACAGGCTTCATTCAGCTTGCCACTGCTAAAGGTACCAGAGCCCAGGAATGTCAGAAAACAGTGATGTCTGGAATTTTAAAAACACACTAATTGTATTTAATGTAATTTAAAATATCAATGTTAATATGTGCGATCTTTTTGTCACCCCAGAAAAATAAATCCAAACTTCTTTTATGGGCCAGTGACACTCATCACCCATGCTATCTTAAGCGTCCTCAGACTGGTTTCATTTTTTCTACCAATATTTTCTTACTGTCATATCGTTTGTTTTCCTCCTTTTATACCAAAGGCTATATTACATGTTCAGAATATGGTCTCTAAAAACTATGTTCCACTAAAAGGAATCAGGTTCCTTGGAAAATGACTGATTTCAGGTCTAGGACAGGAAGTGCCCTGATGAGATCAATTCATCATATCGAAATGCAGGAAAGCTAGCAGAGTCTGAGAGGGTTAGGGTTCTGTCAAAGGACTCCTGAACCAACTGAAGAGGCCCCACTGGCCAAAGATGGGATCATCTGAGCTTCAATACAGGCAATAAATACAATGGATAGAAACCACATCAAATATGTTTAAATCCAAGAGTTCATAATGATATTAAAGCTAAAACAACAACAAAAAAAATCTTCTTGGCTGCTTTTGGATATTAGGATGAAAACCAATGCATTAGTCTGAAAATTAGTAGATAATGGAAGAGATGAACATGTACCCTGCCTTTCCTATACAAACTGTATCTCTGGTTAGCAATACAGTTGGTAATAGAAAGATTCTTTCTATAGAAGAACTCCAGCTAACAAATGAGAGAAAGACAGCATTGTTTCTAATGCCTAATGAAGTATCTAGGTAATAAACACCAACAATTGCTAACAACCCCACAAGAGAACCAAACATAATGTGCTTTCTAATGGAAGAACACAACACTGCCTATGAAGTATCCTTACTACTCCCCTCCCCATATATCACCCGTATATCTAAGTAGCAACTTAAGGAAAATACATCTTAACATGTTAAGCAATACCTATCACTAAAATCTAGACTATGAGAGGATATAAGACAATAACCCACTTTCTATAATAAATAAATAATAAGGTAAGGGCGAATAAAAGAGACAGAGCAAGGACACACACAAGGGACAGCCTAAAGATTAACACAGATAGATTTCAGAGACACAAGTAAGACAATCAAAGAAAATGACTGGATACTTCATGATATTTAAGAAAGTATAAATTTTTATTATGACATAGTTTTACTGGATTTTTAAAAATACTTTCTTTTGAGATACTAAACTATTTATAGATAAAATATGATTTCTGGGATTCCTTCAAAATAATCCAAGGGAAGGGGTCAGCATGGAGGCAGCTCGGGTGTGTGATGGAACAGGACTGACCATGGCTCACAACTGAATGGGAACGTGCTACTTTTGTATGTTTGGTATTTTCCATTTTAAAACATCTTAAGATTTTTTAACTTTATATTTTTAAAAAGCTTTTTACTCAGGATATACTACTTTTTTTCCAGTGATATAGTACTCTTGTACCTTACTTTACTAACAGTGAACTCACGCAGCTCACCTTTCCCACCGTTGCATTTGCTGTCCATCACCTTTAAAGTGGGCCACATGGAGTCATTAACCTATGTCTCTATCTTCGATAACCCCATGCCTTAAAGGACATGTTCTAGAATCAAGTACACTACAATAAAGATTCGCCTTTTAGTGAATTAAGGATTTTCCCCCCTCCCACTAAAGTAGTTGACTTAAACATCTGAGGCCTCCTTAAATATATGCAAGAACCTGCAGAAAATAACCCAACTTTTAACAGCTTCAGCTTCCCCATACCTTGCAGCTAATGCCTACTCAGTTCTTTCATCTTTCAATATCAACTTCCACTCCATAAATCTCTGCTGAGACACAGGACTGGACCTAGGATGGATGATGAAGTGAGAGTTCAGTGTGGGCCTCCTCGACTTCACGTGTGCACGGTCTCCTTCTCACTCATACACGGGAAGTCTCAGGCTGATTTCTTTTCCTCAAAACCTTTCCAACTCTGTGATTCTCAACCAATGGCATGCTGGCCCACTGGAGTGTGTTTGAAAACGTATGAGGGATTTTTTTTCATTGTCATGAGTGACAGAGGTGGCACCACCTCTGCTGACTGAGCAGGAGTCAGAAATGCGATGACCTACCGAAAATCTGCCTAGCAATTTTCCATGAAAATACTACAGCATCCCTAGGGAGCTATTACATAACACACTCTCCTTCAAGTGCACTCTGAATCTCATTTACGCAGAAAATTTCCTCGGACCTTATCATAAGAATTAGTGAATTACCCTCCTTTTGTCCCAGAACATCTCGTCTACTCTCTCAGAGCACCAGTGGTACACAATACTGAGTCGTCTGTCCACTGTGCGTCCCCCTTACACATACCTACGAACCACACAGGTCGCTCCTGGAGGTAGGAAACCTGTCTTAGTCATTGTGTTACCTGGCCCAGTGTCTGGCAGATGAGACTCAACGCACAGTTCATGGATGGCATGCACGGGAAGAGCAGGAAGAAAAGGGGGTTGGAATTAGGGCACGACAATAGCATAAGCAAAGGCACACAGGGGAAAATGACTAAAAAGCATGTGGAAAAACAGGGTAAAGAGTGACTTACGGCAGGAGCTTAGAAACAGGACTAGGGCTGGGATAAATTTCCAGCGTCAGCAGGAATCAAGAGGCCCAAGAAAAAGAGGAAATTTGTGTGAAAAAACTTGGTTTCTCTATAAAGAAATTCCAATAAACACAAATTCATACAATTTTGGAGTGGAATGGCCCAGAGGAAAGAGGTAACTTATCCAAGGCTTCACAGAGGAAGGTAGTGGAAGTACTTGGCTAACCAGTAAGTACATTAGAACATATGATGAAAAACTAAGTACTAAAGATTTATTTAGAGACAGCTTTTTTCAAAATTTGAAAAAGAACACAATATTCATCCTTTAAAAACCCACAATCCTCAAAATCAACCACACTTCTAAGATTTTTAAATGAAATGAAACTGGGACTTACCATGCATGTCAGTTTGTTCTCAGGGGTTTCCTTATCAAAGGAGGCGTCTGTGGCGTCATCCCCGCCAGCGACCCTCTCCTCAATGTCACCACTGGTGCGCATCACCTCTACGTGCAGCCGCCCGGCCACCTGTAACAGTGAGAAGGAAAACGGATGCTTTTTCCAGAATTTCTTCTTTCTTCTGCTTTAGAGTCAAGTAATTAGGTTAATGATATATGGGAATTTAGAAGCCTAGGTTCTAAGAGTCACTTCCCCCCCAAAGTGCTTGGAATAATCACCATGAAGCAATATGAAAACACAACACAGGTGTTATCACACATACAACTATCGCTTGTTATTACTGATGAAAAACAGTAACAACGATATATTGTCAACACCCTTTCCCCTGCAGGATATGAGGCATGAAGCGAAAACGAACCTCTCCTTTCTGGTTGACAATAGGAACAGCATACTGTAACTTCACACGATAGAAGAGGGACTCAAGGAAGACGTTAGCCACACCAATGAGACTGTGGTTCTCCTGCTCATCATAGAATGGATCGGCACGCTTGAAGTACGACCGTATCACCTTTAAAGAGATTCAGAATGCACAACTTCAGAAAATCGATTAAAATAAATGAACTCAACCACTTTTTGATGCACTCTAACAAAGTCATTAAACATGGCTGAATTATCACACTGTATCTCCCCCCTCTCTTTCTCCCTCCCTCCCCCAGCTGCTCATTCCTGTTTTAGGCTATATGGTCAGCATTCTTCAACCATGAGAGAGCAATCCCAATAGTGTCATTACTTTTCTTTCTTTTAATTTTTTTAAAGATTTTATTTATTTATTTTTAGACAGAGGGGAAGGGAGGCAGAAAGAGAGGGAGAGACACATCAAGGTGTGGTTGCCTCTTGCCCGCTCCAGCTGGGGACCTGGCCACAACCCAGGCATGTGCCTTGACTGGGAATTGAACCGGCGACCCTTTGGTTCATAGGCCAGTGCTCAAGCCACTGAGACACACCAGCCAGGGCTCTTTATTTTAATTTTTTTTAAAGATGTTTGTTTATTTTTAGAGAGAGAGGAAGGAAGAGAGAGAGGGAGAGAAACATCAATGTGTGGTTGCCTCTCATGTGCCCCCTACTGGGGACCTGGACTGCAACCCAGGCATGTGCCCTGCATGAGAATCAAACTGGTGACCCTTTGGTTCACAGGCTGGCACTCAGTCCACTGAGCTACACCAGCCAGGGCTCTTTTAATTTTTAAAAATTTATTTTTCAATTACAGTTGACACGTGATACTCTACTGGTTTCAGGAGTACAACACAGTGATCATATGCCTTACTAAGTGACCACTCCAATTAGTCTGGTACCCATCTGACACCATACATAGTGATTACAGTATAGTATGCTGTACTTTACATCTCGTGAATACCTCATTACTTTTATCATTTCTTCTCCTTTATGTAAAAATCTTGTCATGAAAACATATAAAACATACATTGACTAGAAAAGGAAGATGCACAAAAAATGTTATCTTAGGGTTACTAAAATTCTTGATTAAGTAAAAAACTTAAAGGATCAAAATAAATATCCTAGAAACAGGATTACTATTTCAGAAAAAAAGAGCAATTTTTCCCTAAAATGGGCAGTCTCACTGCAAAATGCTCAGTCCCTTTGATGAGTACCCATTATGTAATTATTCTTAAATAACTTACTGGGGTATCTTCTTCACACTCCTTCCACTCCTGATAAAGGTCTCTCATATCCAACAACCTGTTGTCCAACTTTTCCAAAGACCAAATCTGCTTTCCTTTTCCTTTTCTTCTCACCTGGATCGCAGGTTCACTGAGAAGAGAGCCTCGCTGCAAAGACAGTAAAAGTGACTAAGTGACTAAAACACAGAGACACACACCATGGAAGTCAAACCTGAACGCTCTACGCCTACCAGTCCACACCAACCCAAACTGGAACTGCTATCGTTCTTTATTCTGTTAACTGCCAAGCATCCCAGAAATGTCACAAGCTTAACATAATGCCTTTATATCCAACCAACCAAAATTTAAGTTTTCATGGCAGTCGGATATAAGTTTAAATTTAAAACACAAAGGATAAGACCATGTTTAACAGGAAGTCAAAACTATTTTCTTCCAGCTGTCATATGACCAGAGATGCTGGTTGTACTAAATGCCACTGGACTGTTCACTTTAAAATGGTTAATTTTATGTTCCTGTATGTGAATTTGTGCCTCAAAAAATAGCATTTGTTGAAGTTTTCTAGCTTATAAAAGCAATGTGTTTTTCATGTAGAAAAATATTTAAACTTTTTAAAACCACAAAGTAGAAAATAAAAATGCCACTGTATATCTCTTGCAGAGAGACGTATCTATCAGCTTTCTAATCAATTTAGATTTACTGGATAAATTTATCAACTGTTATGAAATGTCTACTTAGACCTTTAGAGAATTGTGAAATACACCAATGACGCTTAGTGTCTTGCCTATAAATCATTTCCAAAAAACCAGAATTTACATAATGAAACAGACTTTAGAATTCTGAAGGTAAAAACCCACTACTGTCTCACCTAATGGCCCTTTTACCTTATATTCAGCCAGCCAGAGAACAAATACAAAAGTCTCATTACTGATCTGTGGGTAGCAGCCTTTCAGAGGGACAATACTAGAACTGGAACTAAGTGGCAATGAGCACTATGCTGCAGCACCATGACGTGGTCCTCCTGCAGATAACTACAACAGGTATTAGGGGTGGGGGGAAAGAAGAAGAAATTTCTGCCCCTTATCAAAAATCACCAGACACAGTTGAGTACAAAGTCAAGAGTAAGGACCAGAAAAAAACAGTATGTATACCATGGACAGGACATTACATGAAATAAGAGTTTTCAAGTACAAACAAAAAAAGTTTGTTGGATACAAATGCGCAAAACCCAGCCTGAGTTTAGGAGAGTACCTCCTTAAGAAATACTTCCTTGTCCAGCTCCTCTCGCTGGCCGAAATCTGAAACTACTAATCTATTAAATCAATAATAGAGGGGATTAATAGCCTTCTGTTAATAATGGCTGCTTCAACTCCAGCAACACGGGTCATCTCTACCAGCAAGACAAAACAAACAAACAAACAAGAATGCCCCGATAAACACACTATCCGGTGTCTGGGAAGAGAGAGATGCCCACAGTGGCTTGAGTCACTTCCAGGTGTTGGCCTGGCTTCCTGAAGGCAGGGTTGCTCCTTCCAACACAGCCTAAGCCAGGACACACAGAGAAGGGCTACAGTCGTGCCAACAGGGAAAAAATATCCACAGTTGTTTTTTCAACTCAGTCCTACAGGATGCAAGAAGACCCTGCTCCACTCAGTCCTCCAGAAGAAGCTGAGCCCTGTACCTTTGACCATGATTGGCCTTCCTCTAACATTTTTTATCCATGAATTCCAACTGTACCTATGGTTTGTCCTACAATACCAACAAGCAAAATAAAGTTCTAAATGAGTAAAATCTTTCAAACCACACACAGGATAGATGTTAAAAGACAAATCTCTACAAAATAATGATTACATCACATTTATAATACCTTTATTACTAAAAACATTAGGCATCATATTTGCCAGATTTATACTGTGCAAAACATTGACCTTGATACTATGATGCTATAAGAGAAAAAAAGAGGTAGTCCCTGTTATCAAATTAGAATAGACCACCCAGGAAGGGTTCATTAAAGCTTTGCTGTGTCGAAGACTGTAAGAGAAACAAACCACACAGACACTCAAATGTTTATCTGAATACAAAATTCTACCTAAGTCATCAGAACTCATGTATGAACCTGATCAAGAGTTAGAAAAGAACCTAAATATGAAAAAAAAAAAGAGTTGTTCCTGAATGGCAGAGAGATAGAAGATTTTGACAGGACTTTCCCCTACATTTTATGAAGTTTATAACATCATACCAAAAGAGATTTGTAATCTTGAATACACATGAAAAATAACTGATAAACAGTTTTTCAGAGCAATCTATTAGCAAAAAGAAAACAACATGGTTTAAGCAAAATAAAAACCTAATATGGTGGTGGCTACAGAGTGGTAACAGAATAAAGGAAAAAATCCACTTTGAGAAAACTCATCAGAAAAGACTTCTCAGAAATAATTTAAACAGATTTGAAGAAAAGTAGCTGAGTGACATAAATCGGTAGGTCTGGGTGGGGGAGTGGAGAGGATATTTCCAGTGGATGATGAACACATATGCACAAAGGCAGGGAATTAAAAGGAAGTAAATTCTACTCAACAGAGCAGGACAAGTACAAAAGAACTAGATTGGGGAGGGTCTAGATGGGGATGAGGCCAAATCCACTGGTGTTTAAATTAACACTGGTGAAATATAAAGCAGCTTTATCCAGTGACATCTGTTTTTTTCCATCAACGGCAAGCTCACCTTGCTGTTGGCATCAAGGCTGGAGGCTAGAATCTGCAGGGTTACTTTATACTCTGTTCTTTTATCCAGTTCTTCTGCAATGTAATTAGCTTCTCTCACCAACAGATTGGCTTTAACAATTTGTTCCCTCAGCCTCATCAGACTGTTATTCAGTGTTGTTTCTCTTTAAAAAAAATGGGGGGAGGGAGGAGACAGCCATCAAGCAGCACATCAGAATATTATACAGTACATGACATCTTCATGCTAAGCTGTCACCCAAGCTTTACAACTGTCTTTCACACACAGGGAATGCATCACCGACACTGACCCGTGCACGCGCTTGTATCTGGGCTAAGTTATATGCACGGGCACATGCTCCTGCAACAAAAGGGCCCTGGATTAGGGAAGTGCTTCAAAACCTTGACTCTGCATACAAATCAACAAAATCTTCAACACTGAAAAATTGAAGATTCCGACTCAGTAGGCTGGGGTGGGGCCTGAGATGCAGTATTTCTATTAATCTTTAGGTGACATAGATGCTGCCTGTGGGCAAACCAAACTTTGAAGAGCAAGAGGTTAGTTAAGTATAGTGTGTAACCATGGATAAGACATTTTAATGCAATGCTAATTAGGCAGTATAGAGACCAAACTTGCAATCTGCATCTCATTAGCACTATGCTTTGCCTACCTGAGTTAATCAGCCCAGATAACCACCTTTCTTTTTTTTCCTTTAAAAAAAAAAAGCATCTACCCAAGCTTCAGAACCTAAAGTATAATACTTTTTAGGTAAAGTATAATACTTTAATGATAGAGCATAACTTCTAAGTACAGATAACCTGTTTATTCAAATCCAAAAGCCATACAAACTGAAGACAGGGCAGCACTGAACACGGGCAGCTTTTAAATAAGTCAGCATAAATTGACAATCTCCACTTTTTCCATAAATGGTTCTTAGCTGTCTCACTCTCTTCTAATATAATTTTTTCTAAAGTAAGGTCTAGATTTCTCCACTCAGTATATCTTACCCTTGTGGGTTGAAAGGGATGAGCACATGCTTATGCAATCACTAAAGGCCCCAGGCACCACCTACCTGTCTTCGGCCCACTGTCTCAGGCGCTGCTGAGCACTGGGGGAGTGGAAAGAAAACCTGTCCACGCTACGGCAGTTCTGCTTCTCAGGAGACAGCCTCCTGCGCAGCTGCTCCAGCTCATGCTCGTACATGAGCCTCTGGCGCTCCAGCGCCGATCGCTTTTCTTCTTCGTGCTGCTGTTCCAGGCTGTTCAATATTGACTGCATTGGATCTAAGTGAGATTTTCATAAAAAGGTAAATAATGAACAAAAGGTAAACTATACAACACGATATACTTCAAAGGTTCTTCTACAACGTTGTTTGTCATCCTAATAAAAATAAGATCTTTAAAGAGTTTGGGATAAACCTAGCTTTCTTTGCTCCCAATTACTTACCTGTTCTGTATGATATGTGCCAAACTATCTTTCTTACAGAAAAAGCAGGTCTAGTATGTGTTCCACACATAACCCAAGATGTAGTTAATGCTGCTGAAATCCACTACAATCATGACCCAATGATGATCAAGTTTCAAACCTGAGAAATTCTATCAGTGAGAACAAAGTTTGCAGTGACTTGTATATCAAGGTAGAAAGAAGGCAAGTTTTTATAAACATAACAAATTAAAGCCAAAGACACGAAAGAATAGAGTACAGAGAACAACCTAATTAATTTTTTTTTGTTAACATTTAAAGCATGTCAGTCATAGACACTTTTAAACTCTCCATCAACTTTAAAAGAAAGAGACCAAAGGGATGGTTACCAGAAGGAAGGGGATGGGTGAAAAGGGGGATACAGTTAATAATATTGTGATAAGTTTACAAGGTGACAGATGATTACTGGAATTAGTGGGGTGATCATACTGTGAAGTGTAAACATGTTGAATCACTATATTGTACACCTGAAACTAATATAAGCAATATAAGATAGTATACCAACTATACTAACATAAAAAATAAATTTAATTTTAAAAAAGATTCTGAAACACGCAACAGGTCTCACCGTTATTAGCCAGAGCCTTCATGGTGACCTCCATCTGCGCGTACTCGTAGTTGAAGTTGACCTCACTGGACACCTCGCTGGAGGAGTCCCCGTCTACGTCCAGCTGCTCAGAACTGGCGTCGTTCTTCATGGAGGTGTCTTGGTCCTCATTCTCTCGGTCTGCTTTCTTTTTCTTCTTAGGCAAATTCAATCTTGGGGAAAAAAGATTATTTTTAAAATGAAGATATACACATTTATTTCATTCATTAAATACTGGCACTTTCTAGATGCCAAGGGGATGTCATGTAAATATAGGGCAATTAGTGGACTCAGTTTACATTCCAGCAGTAGAAATAAAAGACATACGCAAGAGCAAATAGTTGCGGCAGAGAGGATGACACAAGGCCCTGTGACTGGTACAAGCCGGGAACAGTCATAATGAAACAACACAGGACACAAAATGTGCACAGCAGAAGCTGTGAGGGGTAATGCTGAAAAGATCAACTTAACCCAAACTAGGAAGGCCCTGAATACTAAGCCAAGCAATTTACACTTGATTTAGTTTGAGAAAGAAAAAACTGCAAATATTTCCCCCACACTTTGCACCCCTCCACCCTCTCCCTTCAGTCATCAAAACATCAGCTGCCCTGCGAGCAGAGGATCTCCGTGAGTTCTGAGAACGTCAGTGTGATATCTGAAACACAGTGACAGGAAGAGAAATGGACTAGAATTTTACTCTTATACAATATCCAGCCCGCCTTTCCCTGCCAACACAACACGAATTTTGTATGAGAAGCAACATGTGCAGTCCCAGGCTGATTATTTCTTTCTCAGCCTCCCTCTCAGCCAGGCAGCAAATTCCAGCGAATGAGACCGAAGGGGAAGGCTACTGGGGACACGCAGAAGACTTCCGGAGCGCTGTGGCCTTCTTCAGGCCATAGGGAAACATCGTGACCATGACAAGACTTCTGCCACACAGTTTTGGGGGGCTCAGCCAATGCCAACAACCATCTTCCTTTGGATTTCTCATGTTGTCAAAGAAATAAACTGCCAACTTAAGTCACTACAGTCAAGTTTGCTGTTACTGGCAGCAAAAAAAAAAAAAAAACTACAAACCTTTCTTATGAATAAGGAAACTAAAACCACTGCTTTTCCTATTTCAAAAAAAACCCCCTAACAAATAAAAAGATAAGCATGTCAGAAAAAAAATTAATGAATTTATATACCAGATGGCATAACAATCATCTTCCACTGAGAAATAAAAAGGAAAAATGTCTCAGTGAACTCGGTATTTTTCCTGAGTGCATCGTTCACATTCCCTTGGGCTCAAACCATAGAGTGAACAAACATATACACAGGGTGGGGCAAAAGTAGGTTTATACTTGTTCTTACGGAAAATAATAATAATATAGGAATAAACCCTGTTTTGTGTACTCACAATTGTAAACCTACTTTTGCCCCAACCTATATAAGTATATAATTATGGCACATATAGCAAATATATACATACATTAACATATATAATATTTGTGGAGCTATGTTCATTTTTCAATACATATTCCTCTATTTTAGAGTACAACCATCAACCACCTGCTGTGAGAGCCTTGAGTCACGTCATACCTGAAGAAGTGGTTGTTGCCCCACAGTATCCTGTCCCCGTGGTGCAGCTGCACAGGGTTGGACACAGAGGAGCCGTTCACAAACGTCCTGTGGGGAGAAGAGGTCTGACATGTAAACAGTGGTTATTATGCTGTCTCCTTTAACTCTCCACAGAGACCCCATTACTAGGAAAAACTGAATAATCAACTCCCCAAAATAAAACCTGCCCTTGGTGAATTTTATTATTCATATCTACTTCTTTGTTAATTTACCTAAAATGCTTATGGTACTAAGTATAATAATTATCCTGTTTATCAAAGTTCTGAATTTGGTATATAACATAGTAAGAAGTATGGAACCATTAGAGCCAATAACAGAAAGACGGTAACAGTATGCGTTACAACTAAAACAAGTACGTCCAATATCAAGCATAAAAAGAGTCAGTCAACCAACTGGACTCCAGATCTACAGACACCAGTAATAAGAAATGAGACCAATGTCCAAGTCTTCTGCCACTGGCCATAGTAAAATGTCCATACACGGTCAATACACAGAAGATTTGCCAGGCCAACTTGACTGCTTATCTTGACAATGGAGTTCAACAGAAGAAATGGTGGGTAGAAAAATGTTCAACGAAGAATTGGGAGAGGGCAGGAAGTAAACAGAAAATTATTCTTACCACTACAATACTGATATTCCTGGAATACCAGCGTCATCACGCCTCTCTCCTGCTGAGTAACTCATTTGCTTAGATACAGGATAAAGGTCAAGTTCTTTAACTTGACATTAAAGGTCCAAAAAAGGAAACCCCATACTCTGGTTTCTCTTCTGATCATATAAATCTTTTGCCTTTTACAAAAAAAGGAAGTCCTCTTTATTTCCTCCTTTCCCTCTTCTACTGAACTCTCAACTTCAGCAAAAACAAACAAAAACAACCTTTATGTTCTGTCCACTAAACATGACTGACTCTTCCTCCAAAGCTAGCTTCATACCAGTCCTACAAACTGAGATAGGGTTCCCATTCCTCTCCAGTCCCCCAAGTCCTGCTCAGCTCTGTACTGACAATGAGCCTGATTTGGTTTCTACTTCCTGTGAGAGGCTGCTCATCACTCCAGCCTATAGTAGCTTACTTTCCTTAAGTTTCTAATGCACTTCCCCTGCATTATATTGTCACTTATTTTTTCATATGTGCATACACACAAAGTCTGACTCTTTGGCTAGATATCACTTACCTGGTGGTTTTTTAAACCTAAGAATAATTGGTCTTTATACTGCTATCATCTGATTATTCAAAGCACAGGCTCAGAAAATACAGTCATGACAAGAAGGGACCAATTAAAATGAGCAGATTTTAGCCTTTATGATCTAGATTCCTTAAATCCAATGAGAAATTTAATTCAAGGCACACACATACATAGCCTTATTTTAAAAAGCTACAGCAGTTAAGCCATGATTAGTAAATAAAAGCATGAATATAATAACAGTTCTCAAAGCACATTCTGTGCAGGTCCCCAGGGAACAAAGCTATTTTTATAAGGCTCACCTACCCTTTTTCACTGCGTTGACATTTGTACTGACAATGAGCAAAACTGCTAGTGTTTCAGCACAAACCAAGGCAGCGGCACCAAAATACACCAGTAGTCACAGGCTCGTTCACCGCCACACCCTCACAATTGAAAACGAGTTCTGTCTGTGAATGTCCTTGATAGAGCAGAACAACCGTAATGTGTATCACATCTTCACCCTTGAGTGCACAACCTTTTATACATTTTATGTGACAAATGAGAAGCACACAAAAAAGCACTGTGTTAATGCATGCCAAAGTATGATGATTGTCTTGAATAAAAGACATACACAAAGTGGTCTTTTGGCAGACATTTTCTTGAAAATAAACAAAGCCAGCCTGTCACTTCGAGGAAAACAACTGATAGTACTTGTTGCCAACTGCAAATTGCAAGCTTTCAAGTGAAAATGAGAGTTTTGGGAAACTTGTGTCAATATCCTCAAACCAAAGACCACAGGATCATTCCTGCAGTTGAAGAAGCTGGGTCAATTACTCACACAGAGGGACAAGGCATGCCAGGGGGAGCGGGGGTGTCAGCTGGGGGGCACTGAGAAGGGCCTGTGGCAGGATTCAGACTTTAGCTGGAGGATTTGGAGGACAGCCTAAGGAAGTGGGGGCCTTCTCTATACAGAATGCTGTCAGAAAGCAGGAGTAATTCTATGATGGGGTATGTAATAAATGGTGTTGGGTATTTTGTATGTGACATAGTGACCTTGATTTTTCTCAGTGCTCAAACAAAATGATCATGTGGCTGCTCTGTCTTACTGTCACACCCTCGGAGTAACCTTGCCTAAGTTCTCTGTTCTGTGAGATGACTTAATAGGAAAATAGCATGCCCTAGCTAGGGGTGCCAGGCCAGCTTCTGCTCTTTCTTTTTCTTTCTGACTGGTATCCTTCACCAGGAGCTTGATAGCTTCCCAATATCTGAACTTTAGAGATGAAATCAGTGATGATATTAATGATTTTTTAATATTAATGATGAAATGGATTAACATTCAGAAGATCAGTATAAGTCAGTTAGCCATCACCTATAAGTTTAGACAGTCATCCAACAGGGCAGTAACAGTTTTATAGCTTAAGAAAACAAATTAACAAATATTTCATTAAATCACATTATGCCTCTTCATTCATTCACTACTTACTGAGCACTTACATAGATACTAGTCTTAGACTAAGTGCTAAGAATAGAGAATGCAAAAATAAAAAAGGTCCTTGTCCTCTCAAGGAGCTCACAGTCCAAAGGGGTAATAAAGATGAACAGCCCATAAGAATACAATACAGAACATTAACCTAACAGGACACATAAGGTGCACTGGGAATATAGTGGGGGCCCTTAATTTAGACCAAACAGGTAATTCCCCAAAATAGACAATGACAGAGGTAACCCTTGAAGGTCAGAGAGGAGTTAGCTGCCTAAAGAAATGGCAGAGGCAGAGATACAGGAGAAAAACAGGAGGGACATAAGAAATTCTGTATCAGAATAGTAGAAAGCCTAGTGGCTGTGTGGTGTGTAAAACAAGAAAAAGACGAGGGTGCTGGCAGGGGGTCCAGCCCCCCTCATCTGATGAGGATCTGATGAGGGCCTTATTTAAATAAGGCTGTGGCAGTGGGTATAGAAAGGAAGAAATGGGTTTAAGAGATATTAAAAAGTTAACGTGAAACTAACTAACTGGCTATCTTCATTAAGTGAACTTTAAAGCAAACCAAGCCCTGGCTAGGCAGCTCAGTTTAACAACTGAGTGTCATCCCAACATGCCAAGATTGTGGGTTCAATCCCTGGTCAGGGGACATACAAGAATCAACCAACAAATGCATAAGTAAGTGGAACAAATCGATGTTTTTTTCTCTCTCTAAAAAAATCAATAAATAAAACATTTTTAAAAAGCAAACTAAGGTCAAATGTCCTGTATACCATCTGCAACTAATATACTTTCTTCCTCTTAAAAATTATTGTGACATTAACACTAATTAAAATATATTACCTGGTGTTCTTTTGAGGAGTCAGTATAACCTGGCCTTCTGGCATGATGTCTATAATACAGTGTTCAGGAAGAATTCCCATTCCACATAGCTGGATATCTTGGGAATTTGCTGAACCTATCAATGTATGCTCCTACAAAGGAATCAAATTCACTGGTTAATACTATATTCTAACATGTACACAAAGTGAAATCATCGACTCTGAGCCCTATTATATTGATCAATTACCTTAGCTAAGAGATTTTAAAAGCACATGGAACAGCGTGGGGAATTTTCTGGCTTTCTCTGAAACTCATTCTACAAATTCTATTTCCTTTAAGGAATAATGCACCGAGTTGAGTTATACCCTTTAAACCGAAAACTAGTTTTATTGTAATGTCTCTACCATCATCATTATTTTCCGTTGCAATCTTGAGTCCAAGTACTTTATACCACTCTTAGGGCCATGAGCCATGAGTCAATGACAGATCAAAGATATCAGTCTGAAAATTGCAGTTGCTAACACTGCACATCACTTACCTGGTCTCAATCAAGGTAAGTGAAATACAAATATAAAACATTGTTCAAACACAAAGAATTTGAAAAGACTGAATTATTTTGTGAATCACATGGTCTCCCTAAACCTCAGAAAAGATACAATAGATGTGTTCTTGTTACTGTAAGCCACCCACCCAATCACTCAATTCTCTGCACCCCCATCACCAGCGTCACTTTTTGGCAGGTTGCTTAGAAAACTGATGTAAAAATCAAGCTCCCTCTTATGAGCTTCAACATTTGACCAGCTGTCATGATTAAGTGTTGACATGATCTGGATGTGTCCTAGGGCACCTTCTCTTTCTACACAGCAAGGTCAGGGGTCGCACATGAAATACTTTAGGCTTTGTGAGTCACATGCAATACTCAGCTCTGTTCTGGTAGTGTGAAAGCAGCCAGACAATACACAAATGAGTAAGGCTGGCTACTTTCCAATAAAACCTGATTTATGAGTGCTTAAATTTGTACTTCATACCATGTTCATGTGCTAGAGATATTAAGATTCATTTGATTTCTTTCAACCATTTAAACAATGTAAAAACCATTCGTAGCTCCTGGGACATATAAAAACTAGCAGGAAGCCAGATTTGGCCTAGGCTGCTGACTCCTGACCGCAGTGATCTCATCCAGTCCCGTGAGCTTTACATACTGTGTACGTGTAAATTAAATCCCCATCAGGAACGACAGACTTCAGCTGCATTATTTCCCTACCTCTGCTTCCACTACCCTAGTCTCAGTCACCATTATTTCTTGCCTACCAGGAACAACTTGGATGTCTAAAGACATTTCAAAGTGAAAGGGCCGGAGCAGAACTGTTGCTCACCCCTGACCCAAAACCCCACCACTGACCCAATGACTCTATTCCTCTTCCCAGCAGTAACGGCGCTGCCACCACCCAGTTAGTCAACTAAGAAGCTTAAGTGCTGTCTTCCAGTCCTCTCTACCCCCTGGGAGTCTCCCCCAGCCCCACGTCAATCAGGAAAATCCTTGCAGACTCCCCCTCCAAAACGTGTAAGGGATCGGCTCATTTCCCCCCACTTCTACCATCACACGTCCCAGTCTCTCGCCTGGGTGAACACGGGAGCTGCCCACTATTCTTTCACTTCTTTGAGTACACTGGCTGTTTCTTCTGTCTGAAGAGTTCTTCTCCTGATCTTGACACGGATGGTATCTTACCAATTCCATCTCAGCTTTTATGGGCACACCCTCAGAGAGGTATGTCCTGAATTGACAATCAGAAATAGCTACCCCATCACTCTCCTATTCGAATTCCTGATGTAGCTCTGACTGTGTCAGAGATGACATAGCTCTGCCAGCTCCACAGCTAACATGGAAACTCTAGGAGAAGACAGAACAGTTGTACCCACCCCCACTGTAATCTAAGCACTTAACACAGGCTCAGCACTTAAAGGCATTAAAAACTTAAAATACATGAAACATCATTTCCCTCAGCTTTCTTTTCAGACTCAAAGGAAGATGATTCTCTCCTCTTCTTTACAGGTAATACATCTAATTATATTCTGGGTTCCAATTCTTCCCGTCCATCTGGGTCTCTATCTCATAAAAAGGCCTCTTTCCCGCTAGTATTTCCATGTCCCCCTTTCTGGGGGTTTCTTCTCTCAACAACACTGCAGTGGTGTTTCCAAGGAAACAAAGAGATGGGATCCTGAAGCACCCTGTGATATCCTGTTCAGTCCTCAGGGTGTGTATATAACACACAGGACATTCCAGGCAAACGTCTACTGCTCACTATTAGCTGAAGCTTCCTGGTCAATCACATACCTCCCTAACCTGGAAAACAGGGCTTGACCAGGTTGAAACTACAAGTAATGCTTTTGCGACATTCAGGAACAGAATCTATTCCACACCTGTCTCCATTCCCCAATTGGGTTCTGTGAAAAGAGAAGGGAAGAGAAGAGGAAGAGGGGAGGGGAGGGGGAGGGGAGGAGGGGAGGGAGGGGAGGGAAGAGAAGAGAAGAGAAGAGAAGAGAAGAGAAGAGAAGAAAAGAGAAGAGAAGAGAAGAGTCCAAAAAGAAAAAGGGCCCAAGATCACCTAAAAACAGAAAAGAACTCACGGCACTTGCCTGAGGCCATTTCTACATATAATCACTTTCCTCCTCCCCTGAGAAATTCTAGCAGAATTTCTAACAATACCTTTGGAATCCTTTTTTATTCTGGGGGTACAAGTGGAGAATGGCCTTAAACTATAGCCTAGATTGGAGCTTGAATGTAGAACCAGCTCCTAATATGCCACCCAGATTGCAGACAGGCTCATTCCCAGTCTCTGCCCTTATTCCTGTTCTCTTTGCAGGAAACGCTCTCCTCCCTTATCTAAATATGAAATACCTTTCAACAACTACAGGGGCCCGCAGAAGTAAAGGCTGCTTGAGTGTGACTGGTAGGGTAATAACATGGGCATAATAATTTATAGTTTTAATTTGAACATTTCCCTAAAATGTCATATGGTGTGCTTGAGCATGACACTGTTGTTACAGAATTACATGCTTATGATTTTGTAATAAAAGATTTGTAATAAAAAAGGGGCATTATTTGTACCGGACCCTGCACTTCTAATTTCATCTTCTACTTGAAGGTTCGCTATTAGCCAACACTGACCTCTCCCTTCTCTGGGCCCTGACAACACTCAGTACCTCAGGTTACTGTTGGGGACGAAAACAAGGTTCTACAATAAACCTGACCAAAAGTAACCGCACAGGCTGGCCTCACCATAGATTTCCTAACTGGGCAGGTCATGGAGGGTAGTCCCACTCCAGACCTACAAAAAAGGCTTACTTTTGCCTGAAGCAAGCCCTGCCCATGGTTTTTGTGCATCTACATTAACACACCTTTGAAATGCCAGAGAAGTCCTTTTTTCAGATCCCTCAGAGGGAGCAAGTGATCCTAACTATCCTGTACCTTGCCTTCTCCCACCCTCATGTAATCTTCATTCCAAAGTATAAAAGAAATTTCAAAACTGTCATTCTGGGGAGCTCTGGAGATCTTGCCTCCAGGCATGTCATCCGTTTGTCTCAAACAAACTCATAAAAATTCTCCAGTCTGGAGATGTCTCAGGTCGACACTACCCACTGCAGGCACGTTTTCAGACAGCAGCCTATTCGGACGCTTTCATCTTCTCCGACAGTGAGTGCTGTACACAGCACCCAGTGGACGCTAAATATCTGCTGGTAGACTGAATTAAAAATTATCAGAGGTAAGATAGTAACTCAAATGTCTAATTCAAATTCTAGAAGAAAAATTCTATTTTCCAACAAATATATTGAACACCTATTTTGAGCTAAGCACTGAGCCACTACAGACAAAAGACAGACAAGGTCCCAATTACAGAGTTTACACTGTAAGTGACAACTTAAATCTCTCATTTGAGGTTATAATTTATTCTAATCTGGATGATGATTTGCTGGAATTTCAAATATTAGGTTCTAAAAGCTCAACTCTGCCAAAGCCTTACTCCTTGATATTTAAACAAGTTAAACAATAAGCTTTTTGATAGCTCCTATAGTGCTCTAAACACTGCAATAAAAATAACAAAGAGAAAAAAACATCAACTTATCATAGGTTGGTATGGAGGTTTATCAGTAACTAATCAGTAAATAAATTCTGTGAAAGTACAAAGCAATCATAAGTTTAGGAGTAACTAATCAACGAAATACCAAATATTAACTGTGATCATCTCTGTGTGTTTGAATTTGGATGCTAACCTCCCACCCCATTTTTTTTCTAATATGTTTTTATAGAACTTTTTAGGGAAAAAAGTGTTTCACTACCACAGTGTTTTTAGGGTGAAGGGAGCAGCTCTTCCCTTTGGAAGCTTGGCTCGCGCTGGGATAAACCTCCACATTTACCTCACAGCTCCAGGCAGACTTGCTTTGCACGAGAGGGCAGGACCATCAAAATAGTTGTACAAGGAGATCTTAATAAGCAATGGGAAAATCTGCAATTATTCTGTGACCTTTAAAAGTGTCTGTGAAAACATTAAGAATTCTTTCTCTTATTGTTATAACGGAGAGGGAGATGAAAAACAGTAAAGCATGTTTATTTAGTATGCTGTAATTTAGAACATTAGAAACACTGACATTTAAAGCATCTAATTTCTTTGTTAAAGTTTGTCCAGAGTTGTCTGAACAGTGCTGGCCATCTCCTGCACACATATCATAACATGGAATGAGATTATTTTCCATGCCCTGGCAAACTGTTGTACTCCTTTCTAAGCTTCTATCATTTTACCCTTTGTGCTTTCAATGTTGTAAAATATCTACAGGAGTTCCTTTGTGAGTGTTGTCTTGAGACATCTTTATTCTTATCATCACAACCACTTTCACTGTTTACCTCAGGAAGTTCACCTTCACTGTGTTCCTCTGGCTGCACAGCTAGAATCTCACTACTGGCAGCACTGTCAACATTATTTACTAACTCCTGGGACTAGAATTTGTGTATATTACAACTATGGAAAGCAAGGACTGCCTGTACATGCAAATAAGTTGCAAAATTATCTTGTGGCTTATGTTCTATCTATGGTTTGGTCACCATATCTTACCGCTGCCAGTTCTAGACAGGACAAATAAATGGAGGATTCTGTTCTGGATGAATCCAACTTGCATACAACTTGGAACTAGAAAGAACACCAGAGATATTTTAATCCAGTGCCCTCACTTTACAAATGGGGTGCCAAAAGTCACCCAGAGAAGTGAAGTCATCTGCCCAGCATCTCAACTGACTTAAAAAAAAACACAAAATGCTCAGCCTCCGAATTCCTCATCCCACATCGTGATACAGCTTTACTGAAGCAAAAGCTGTTCTTGCACTGAGCTCATCCTGCTGAATGTGCTTGGTCATGAATATACTCTTGTCATGGGGTTAGCTGGGACAGCGAAGAAACCAACACTGCCTCAAACTCGGCCAGAACAGGGCCGACCACACAGTCTGAAACAGAATCCTGACACCTCCACACAATATGACCAGAAATATTTTGACTCCCCTCCAAAAGTCTTTAAATAGTTTCTTTGTTTAACTTTTTAGTTAAGGAACAGATATGAATCAGGTTTTCTCTTGTTGGGTGTCTGTGTTTGTGTGTTCCAATTTGAAATTTGCCACATCAGAAAGAGAAAGAATTCGTAGTTCTGAGAAACAAAAAGGGCCGGATACTTAAGTCCTATTCTAATATTGCACCTCTCCTAAAGCATGTAAATATCTGCAGCTGAAATTCTAACACAAAATGCTGCCAACATTGTCCAGAAGCAAACTGAGTAATGTGATAATACATATTTTTTCAATAGATAAGAATAATGCACATAAGATACCACAGAGATTATCAAATGTGAAAGCGGTATGTGGAAAATGGTATGTGGAATATGACATGTGGAATATTTTACATTTGTACAGTGCTTCGGTTTATACAGTGCTTCTATATGTACAATTGGAACAATCTTCTATATGTACAATCTTCTATATGTACAATCTTCTATATGTACTAACCGGAACTCTGTGAGGTAGCCAGAGAAAACTCCCATTTATAGAGGAAGCATCTGCAGAGGAGGGCAAAGGACTTGACACTGGACTTGAGACTGAACACCTGCAACATAGTGATATGGACTAGAAACACTGGGCAACCCCCTCCCACTCTCAGTACCTGAGAATGCACACGACTGTAAGTATCAAAGACAGAATTTAACTCACAGCGTAATAAAACATGCTATTCAAATCTACACCAAGCAATTATGCTGGATACCTTTGACAAAAACTGGGAAACTAGCCAATGAGTCATGAATTCTTTAATCTCTTTAGAAATGAAACCACACAATTCTCTAACTTTAAAGCAGTTTCCAACTTTAGCAGCTCATTACCTTTACTTTCCTAGTCACCTCAGTTAAACCCACATGTATTATGAGGGGGGAAAATTTCCTCCTAATATTTATTAACCTCCTGCTAAAATCATATAGTCCATTATATAATTCATTTATACTCTGGGCTTGGTAAAAAGTTTTGGGTAGCACCTCATAATTTAGGTAGTCTCAGATTTATAAATTTTTCTCTTGTCTTCCTATATCCTACTATTTATAGCTTTCAGTGTCTATCATTATTCGTTGTTTTCCTTTTCCACACACTGACCCTCCCAGTCTTTTTTAATTTCTTAATTTTTTTAAAAGATCCTCTTTTTATTTTTTTTAAGATTTAATTTTTTTATATTTAGAGGAATGGGTAGAGGGGAGAAAGAGAGGGAAACAACAATGTGTGGTTGCCTCTTGTGCACCCCCTATGGGGACATGGCCTGCAACCCAGGCATGTGCCCTGACTGGGAACTGAACCTGTAACCCTTGGTTCCAAGGCTGGCACTCAATTCATTGTGCCACACCAGCCAGGGCCCATTCTTTTTTTATAATTTGATAATCCAAATTTTTAAATTTTCCTAAAAGTTAGTGGAAATACAAATTTCATATCAAGTGGTCGTATGAACAACTGTCTTTAAACATTTCCTCTTAGGAGCTAACAAACCACACACAAAAAGGCAGGTTTCATATAAACCATAAAAGCTTTAGTCTACTAATGAGTCAGTTTTAAAAGTCATTCCTTAAGTTTTAAAGTTATCCACTTAAGTCTCTGGTATAAATCACATTAAACAATAGTAGTTAAGCTACTTAATTTGTTAGAAATAGTATCAGAATATCATTTTTTATATTACAAGGTTGAATGACATCACTCAAAAACTAAAAAGAAAAACTATTCCAGAAACCCAAGATTTTTCTATACTTAAGCTTATTCAAAGAAAAACAATTGACTAATTCATTATTTTGAATAAGTGTGGTTCTCCAAGTTATAAAAAAAAATGCTGTGAAACACTGTTCTATTTCATGGCAGGAAATACAGCAAAGCCTATTACTTCACCTTTAAATAGTAAACCAGAAGTTCATTCAAAGCAGGATCAGCATTCAGATTAACAAGGAAACACTTATCATCCCCAACTTTAATTCCAGAAGATTGAAGAGATATTCCGAGGCTCTCCAGTTGTTTCTGTCGCTCCTGTAAATGCATTAGAGAAGTATTAACTCCATAGCTACCGATACAGGGAGATATGAAAGGTCTTATGATAGAGTAATTATTGAATAACTTTGTAATTCAAATATGTTAGCAAATATGTTATATTACAGTATTATAGATTATTATCTTTTTCTCTTTCTGAACTATATAATGTTATTTTGTTGATTAAAATTTTTCATTTTGAAAAATAAAGCCACTACAAATAACTACCAAGTATACTACTGAGCCCTCAATTTCCATTCTTGAAAATACCTAACATCCTGAATTCATCTTTCTCATTTAATTCTGTACATGTGAGCAAATGTACATTTGTTTTACTCTACTGAAATGTTTCTGAAGAGCCAGGGTCTCAGTACGATCTCCTGTCTGATCCCTCAGTGACTCCCCAGCCAGGATGAAAGTTCAACTCCCTCCACAGGGTGCACCCGGCCCTTCACTCTGACCCATGTAAGTTACTCCCATCTGCACATCATGTCATTCCTGCTTGCAAAGCCTGTGCTACAGTCACATGGGACATTGTCCAGGACCCTGAAAGGGTTGAGAACGTTCTCTTTAGCTTAAGAGGTTGTACACCAGTATTTTCTGGCGGGAGCATACTTGTTCTCACACTTGGTTAACTTGTCCATTTCTCTATGTGGGCACGAATCCTACCTATCTACTGTGGCTTCCTAGCACCATGCATAACACGCGGTGAGCACTCAAAATGTTGGCCTTATAAATTTATCACAACAAAACTTGCATGTTCATTCAAGTACTATTTTCATAAGGACATGAGCCTTTCTTCCTCGAGGCACTTTTTTTACTGCACTTAAGAGTGCTCAGCCTAGGCCCCAACTCGTGTGTAGGCAATAAATATTGGCTGTTTATTATTTGGAAGAACAAACTAAGGGCAATAAGCAGAAATAAAAGAATAAAAGACTTTTATTAAACAGCTACCATTAGAGCTGTCCGATCACAGACAGTCGGTCCGAAACAGAATGCCTGAGGGGCAGCGAGCCGCACGCTGCCACACACAGGTGGAAAGCAGAGGCTGCATGGAGCAGCCAGCGGGAAGGCCACAGTGGAGTCCCTTATGATTGAGCTGGACACTGCAGGATGTTCTCCAAACACGAATGTTCCCACCCTGACGTCTCACAACTCTCCCTATATTAAGTATTTAAAAAACGAGAGACAGTTACCTCAGATTTAGGAATTTCATATTACTTTTTACTGAGCAGTCATATGGAAACATAGATCTCATAGCCTAATATCTAGTACTAACAATTTTGTGGTTTGGACAACTTTCCTCAGGAGTACAAAATACTTAATAGAAGTGGATGTTCAGAGCCAGGGACTACAAAGTAGCTATTTCATTAAAAACCTTTTTTATGGCCCTAAAAATTATTTATTATATGATGAACAATTAATTGTAATTATGTCTTTTTTTATCCTTCACATAAACTTAGTAAAGTATAAACTCTTGGCTCTAGATTCTTATTAACAGTGCTAGATTTGCCATCTTCAAAGCAAATTAACAAGAACCAGAAGCGCCACCTGAACTGCCGCGCACAAACTGCCGTGCGGCTTCTCTCTAGATCAAGAACCACAAACCTGGGCAATCTCCTCGGTAGTCCTTAATTTCTCCTCCCAGGTCACGGTCATTTCCTGGATTAGCTTCTCGGATTCTTCCAGCCGCTCTTTTAGCTCTGGAGATTTCATTGCCTATAAGCAAAATGTTTATTTCGTGAACTATCTGTACAATACACTGAAAAAAGGATTAGATAAATCCAGAAAAACAAAAGTAATAACCTGTCTCCTCTCACTCAGGTCTCTGATCTTCCTAAGACACAAATGACTGTCGCTGACCGACAGCAACCCCACTGTGTGGCTCCCATGAACAAACCCAATCATCCAAGGTACATCTGAAAGGAAGTCAACTTCTTCCTTTTGACAGTTCAAGTTAAGAAGGGCTTATTTTTAAAGTCCCAATAAGTCATATACCTCAAGTCAAACATGATGCACTCCAGTCTTTACTGATGACTTCAGGTATTAATTCAAGTACATACAGAATAAATTTGTAAAAGTTGCAAACTAGCTGGGGTTATTAATATCAGGAACACAAAAACAAAATGCCAAAGTCTCCTAATGAACTTGAGAATTATCACTATAAAAACAGGAAAATATTCAACAGGCAAAAATACGATCAGGATCTTTGTTTTGACCACATATTTTACCCACAGTCTACCAGAAAACGGGGTTCAACAAAGAAAGGGCTGTGGTCCCAGCCCCAGGAGAGGGTCCCACAGTGCTGGCAAACTGCAGGAACAGAAAGGCTAATGAAAGTAGGAATCGTGTTTCTGATATTTTATTCCTCTTTTGACAAGAGGCTGAGCATCCAGTTGCAGGTGAGAACTGTGTAGGTTTCAAATTCAGTAATGGAACATAAATACCACAACGGAATGTTCAAAGAATACTGGAAAGCGAATACCACTAAATAGACGGGCACCACTGGTATAAAATATATTTTCTACAAACGAAACTGAGCCCCAACATGGAAAACTAAATTAAGGTATGAAAGTCTTCCTTAAGATTTGCATTCTGACTTCAACCAATGAACAAATGATATAAAAATCTATTTAATTCTTCTTCCAAGTAGCCTGTGCCCACTGTCCACCATTTTCTACACTGAAAATAAATTGTATACATTTGTTCAAACATCTCTTTTACTCTCCCTTGTTCTATTATACTTCTTCTCTCTAGTCGGCTAACTATACTGTGGAATGAAACATTCTCCCAATTCTTTTTATTCTTTCCTCCCATTCAACCCTTTAATACCTGTAAAAACTCTCTAAATTCCAATCATGACAACCTGTCTTCCTTTACTTATTACTCATCTCAAATTTCTCTTCCTACAGGAAATTCAAAAATTTTAAGTAAATTACTCATCACTTTCAGCTAAGGGGGACGAATATTCAAGTTCTAACTTTACTAGATTTTCCTAGACCCATAAAGCATTGCTCAGCTGTGCCTTATACCTCTGCTTTGGTTAGCTGCTCTCGGAGTTTCTCTACTTCTTCCCTCAGATCCCGGATAATGCGTGCATTAGGATCCTCATTCACCACGGCGTGGTTCACGATGTTCTTGGCGCGGTCTGCGTACCGCAGAGTGGAAAGGGTCTCGTCATAGTTATCAGCTGCCGGACTCACGGTAGCTACCATTGCCGTCTTACTGTTACCCCCAAGACTGTCCTAGAGAGGGAGAAAGTGAGCAGCATTTTAGAGTTGGAAGAAAACATTCTATGAGAAGGCTGAGGTCAGAAATGGTAAGATAACATCCCACGGTCAGACACACATTTAAGGGCAAGGTCAGGACTAAAACACAGGTACACTGACTCCCTGTCCCATGTTTTTCCTTCTCTGCCAAGCTATTTTTCTGCAGAAGGGAATTTTGGTTTTGAAAAAGGACAGAGAAATACAATAAAGTCTACATTTATTTTAGTTTAAGAAAATTTAATTTTATACAATTTGTTCTCTTTTAACAGACAGCATGATACCACATAAGTCAGCAGACTACTCAGAATTAAAAAAAACAGTAATTTCTTAAGTGCCTAAAAAATCTTCCGTAGAGGAACTGAACAATCATGATATTATTTATCTGATCAAAGAATGACACCTATAACCCACTCCGTAACACCATATATGTAGAATCTCTGAGAAGCCTAAATTATAGCCCAGAAAGTGTGTTCTTACAAGCTATCAAGCACCTTGCAAATTTTTTAAAAACATAATTGAGGGTGCCTGCCTAGCTCAGTCAGTAGAGCATGAGACTCTTAAAAATATAATTGTACCATAAAAAGGTACAATTACAGTCTTATAAAAACAAAAGCTACATTGAGGGTATTTTCATTCTATTCCCTCCGACACCACTTCAAAAACCACTAAAACAGGCTTCAGGTTCTACATGACCACCCCCACAGTCCAGCCGAGGGTGCTGAACAAAGTTACGCATCTTCATCACACTAGAACTGAAAAGTAGAGTGCAATGTCTTTAACACAGGCTCCAACAAGTTCAAAATGCTACTGTCACTGGAGGATATTAAAAATAACTAACTACAACTCCGATCACAAAACTAGACTTGGGAAGTCAACCCACCCCCACTCCACTGCACCACACAACGGCCGTGGCAGGCCGCCTCCAAGATGGCCCTGATGACTTCCACCCCCTGGTGGTAACACCCCTGGGCCACCCTCTTCCCTTGAGTGTGGGCAGGGCTTGTTTATTTGCATCTAAGAAACAGAACACAGCAGAAGCTATGGCACGTCACTTCTGATTATAAAAAGATTGTGGCTCTGCTATGGGTGTTGTTTCTCAATCAATGCCATGAGGTGAGATAGTCTTCTGCAGGAATGAGTTTGGAAACAGCTTCTAAAGCCTGCCAAGAGCTACTTAGGTGAGTAGATCCAACCCTAGTCCAGCCTTGTGATAACTGCAGCCCCAGATGACACTTTGATCATAGCCATGTGAGAGACACCAGCCAGAAACACTTAGTTAGGCCTCACCCAGAATCCTGACCCACAGCGACTGTGAGATGACAAATGACTGTGTTTCCACCTATTAAGGTTTAGGACTACTATGTTGCATAGCAAGAGATAACTATTCATACACTAGTATACCATCCGAGGATGGGAAGAATTACCCAAAAGAAGAGATTCAATACCCTCTTTCAGTAAGAGAATACCACTGAACATAGTCTCAAGATTAGAGAGGATACTCAAAAAGGCCAGTAAGCCAATGTCACCTTTGGACAGCATTAACTGATACAAAATTCTTACCTTTGAAGATACAAAGTTTTTCTAATATCAATGCATCTAAAATTTGTTTGAGCAATCTGTGATTTACACAGATTGTGCATAGACTTTACTCAGTCCTCAGCCTTTGATGAATTGCATTAATAGTATTCCCACTTACCAATGAAAAGACAGAGGTTTGTTCTGACAAAGAAGGTGAAATACTTCGCCTAAAGATCCAGAATTAGTAAACTGAACAATATTCTAGTCCAACTGTACTCTGCCTTCAAGTTCAATATGATTCTTGCTCCCCCACAGATATCCACAGTAACAGAGTAACAAAACATCACTTGGCAACAGACGGAGTTCAGACCTGAGGAATAAGGAAGGTGACCTGACACATTCCCAAATTATTTTGTCCTACTGCCAGAAACAAAATAATTTCTTAGGTATTCCTAATAGTTCAATATAATCACAGATAATACGTCCACTCATTCATCCGTTACTGAAACTTTGGTTTTCCACAGACAACATAGCTGAGATAATTTTATCTTTGAAGAAAATGCACTTCAACACATGAAAAAGAAGGAAATGTAAGTAATCTGGGCTTTAGGAAGCAAAAGCTATCCCTGTGAAGCCTGTATGGGTGTGTGTTTCACTCCGCTTCTAGACTCCGACCTCACATTGTTGGTGCCCCACTTTGGCAACTTCCAGAAAAATGTCGAGAAGAATCCCATGCACATTAGTGGAATTCCAATGCCATATACAAAGACCACAGGAATTGCATCTCAAATGGCAATCCAGTTCACCAGCAGTGCTGTGGTGGAGTGCTGCCCTCCCAGAACCACGGCGTTCTGTTAGCCCACATGAACAGCAAATGCTACTGGGCACAAGGGAATGTGTAACAATAAGTAGCAAAGGAGAAAAGCATGCACATTGTGCTTCAATTTGTGCTGAGGAAAGGAAACCTGGCAAACAACAAATCCTTGATATTTTAAAAGCCCTTGTGCATGAGCAGTAACAATATGCTTATATTCAAAAATGGCCTCAGGCCTTAGCAAAAAGGAAATGGCAACAAAAGACCTGGCACTTATTCAAGGAGAAAGTATAAAGCTTCTTGTTTACTCTTTAATTGTTTCATTAGGCAAATCAGCTGAGCTTTGTTTCGAATGTAGCAACTGCAAATTAAATGGACCTCGGAAAGAAATTTAATTTTGGAAGTCAGAACTGTTTAAAGCTGAAAACTCTTTGAAGTCATTTAATCAAATGATTCCCTTTTAAAGAAGAGAAATTGAGACCCAGGAAGAATGACAGACTTACCAAAGGTCATAACGCTAGTTCAGAGCAGAACTGAAATATCCATTCATTCAGCTTCTCATGGAGTTTACCTTAGAGGGTGATGCGGGTGAGCAAACACTATATGATAAGAACTAAAGTAAGGATAAACACAATATGGTCTGGGAAAACAGAAAAAGTAGAATGCCCAATCTTGAAAGTTTAGGGAAGATTCCCAGAGAAAGTGGCATTTGAGACCTTAAGATGAATAAGCATCACCCAGATAAAGGGGGGCAGGAGAGCAGTGTAGGAGGAAACTGGAGAGACGAAGAAGAGTGTCCTAGTGTGAGAGCAAAGTCCTAGAAGTCCCTTAACTGGAACTGATAATGTCAAGAGCAGAAGATGAATAATGAGAAGTAGAGAGTGGTCAGACTATGAAGGGCCCAGTAAATCACAAGTCATTAAAGAATTTGGACTTGATTGTAAGGGCTTCTGGAGAGTTATTAAAGAGATTAAAATTTTAAAAGAATATGAATTTAGAAAGAAATTGCAACCTCACTTTAAAGAACAAAATGGACAGGGAAAGCTTGAGAGACACCCTGGTTAGCGTGGTTTCACTAACAAGTGAATTGTGGCTCAGTGGACTGAGTGCCAGCCTGAGAACCAAAAGGTCACCAGTTCAATTCCTAGTCAGGGTACATGGCTGGGTCAGGGTCAGGTCCCCAGTTGGGGGTGTGCGAGAGGCAATCAACTGATGTTTCTCTTGCACACCAATGTTACTCTCTTTCTCCCTTCCTTCCCCTCCCTCTGAAAGTAAATAAATAAAATGCTTTTAAAAAAAGAAAGAGCTTGAAGGAAAGGTTTCAATCATCCAAGCAAAGAGATGCAAGTCATCTTCAGTATGTACTGGCAATAAGAATGGGAAAAAGTGGATGAATTTGAAAGATAATCATTATTAAAGAAAGAATTATGAGAGAAACTCCCAGAAACTTGGTTCTTTTTGCCGACACGGTACAGAACTACAGATAAGCAAGCCTACTAGTATGCAAGCAAAGTTTGTTAGTGCTAAGTTCTAACGCAAGAGCAAAAGCAAGGGTGGCAAAAGCAGGGGTGGCAAGAGCAGGGTAGCCAGAGGCCAAGTGGCCAAAAAGGGCCTAGAGAAAGAGTCCTTTATTCTGAGGACTTAATGTAGTTGGCGGGATGGGGAGGAGGGAGTTACACTTTGACTGACAGGTAGAGGTTGCCAGTGTTGCGGGGGGACATGACTACCCAACCTCCCGTGGGTGGGGGTCTGTTAGCTTGAATCCTTATCTTGCTCCAGACTCTATTTGTTCATTTTGCACATGTGACGGGGGCAGGCAATTAACCAAAGTTGTTTTATGGGCTTTTCTTTGGGTACTGTGGGTACCCTTCCCCTTCCCCCATCCAGGCCTTGGCAAGAATACACAGTCTCAAGGTTTTCCTTTTCCGAGTGAGTGCAGACAATACACACAGACTTTCAAGGGCTCCCCCCACCCCACCACCACACTATCATAGTTAACTTGTGTTGTCCGGAATATCTGGCAGTCTTATTGGACCAGGCTCAGGACTACTGGGTCAACAGGTAAGACATGTCTTCCTGTGTTTTCAGCCTCCTGTATTAAGCTCTTTGTTAGACTGCAATGGTGAGGACCCTGCCTTTATTACCCTTCTGGTAGCTCATTCCTAGTTGCCACCGTAACAGGAGCATTTGTTACCAGAAGTTACTTGATATTAAGAGATGCATATTGAGAAAGCTACACAGAAAGGCCAAAATCAGCTTAATACAAAATGGTTCTCCCTGACCACTTGACATATGAGTCAGCACTCTGCCATCTCTGAGGGAAGAGCACTCACATCTATGCTGGACTAAGTGTATCATGAGAGTTTCTCCAACTCTCAGATGTTATAAACATCAAGAGCACTGCATAATCATAATACAAATACAATGCAGAAAAACTTGACAAAAAAATCGCAAACCTTGCCCTGGTTGGTGTGGCTCAGTGGACTGAGTGCCAGCCTGTGAACCAAAGGGCCGCCGGTTCAATTCCCAGTCAGGGCACATGCCTGGGTTGCAGGCCAAGTCCCCAGTAGGAGGTGCACAAGAGGCAACCACACATTGATGTTTCTTTCTCTCCTCTTTCTCCCTCCATTGCCCTCTCTCCAAAAATAAATAAAGTTAAAAAAATTGCAAATCTTATAAACGATGAGCAAGTTTACAAGTTTAATACAAGTTACATTAGAGAATACCAGGATTATACCAGGTCAAACAAGGATCAGGGAGTGATAGACTACTTAAGATTAAAAGAAGGAAAAAGTAATAGGGATATAAAAGCCACTTTAAAGGAGAATGATTTATGTAACAATGGATTCTGAGAGACCTTCAGGAAAGCTGTTTATACCCCAAAATACATTTTGCAAAAATGCCCCTACTTAAGACCTTGCCGCAAAAGTCAAACAAAATAAAGGTCACCTCGTTTTTCAGGGGGAAAAAAAAAAGACAAAAGTCAAGAAAAGTACTGCTTTCTTTAGCATGAGAATTAACACACAGAAAAAACAATTTTAACAAAATTTTACTAAACACAAGATAAAGTGAGCTTTTTAAGAAAGTGTTTTGTTTTATTCAACTATTTCCAACAGTTTCTAGCAATGCTTGGTAATAGTCAAGTGCTTCTCCTTCTAATCAAAAGAAACCTTTGATAACCTTTTTCCCAGGCAGAAAAGCCCTGGACTCCACCCTTGTCTCTCTCTCCAGTACCTCACATGTAACCTAAGAACACCACCCTTTACCTTCCAGGAGTAACCGAGATAATGCACACAAAGCACTTAGCATCGCACCTGTTTCTCCCAGAACAAGCTCTCCTGGCCTTCAGCCTATAAAATGGCCATGAAAAATTACCTAGGCCATTGTAACTGTGTTAACTAACAAAAGATACTTCTTTTTTAAAAAAATATTTTTTTTATTTATTTTTTAGAAAGGGAAGAGAGGGAGAAAGAGAGAGAAACATCAATGTGTGGTTGCTGGGGGCCATGGCCTGCAACCCAGGCATGTTAACTCCTTACGTGAGTTAGGAGTGTCACCAGACTTCATACCCCCTAATTCCCAGGCCAATACCCAACTCACCAAGGCTAAGGGAAACCTGGGAATAATCTCTTTTCCCCAAACTCCTATTGCACATCATTTCCCTAACTCCTACGGAATCACTAACTCACACTATAGTATTTTATGTAAACACTGTTCCCTTACTAGACTCTAAGCAAGTAGAGAGTGAAGAGTGTTTTACACTCCTTTATGTTTTCCTCAGCACTTCATACAGTTTATTTTTCCTTCTCATTTCCACTTCTCTCACTGACATCCAATCAGCCAATGAATGACTATATGACTACTCTGTATTCCTAAACAATACCTATAAAAAGCTAAAAGCAAATTAAAATGATCATGAGTAGTTTTGAAGTTAAACAGAATTACAAGGTCCAAAACGTCAGTGAGACAAGAGGAGTCTGTATGACGGTGGGAACTCCTTTTTTATGCCTCGCTCACCTGTCCGATGAGCACCAGGTCCTCCTTCTACTCCCCCGAATCTGAGGCAGCTGTGAGGGCCGGTATGCCCAGCACCCCACTGCTTCCAGGTTCTGCTGGCTCAGGAAGAAACCTGCGCTTCACCAACTAAAATTGTAATTACCACCTAAAAACCTACAGATTATAAATTTGAACACTGACAGAGGAAAGGATAACTGAAAAGGAGTAATATTCTACTCTTTATTCTTCCTGGTACCAACCACCAAGAGGAGACCAGGAAAGAAAAAATAACTTACTTTGAGCAGCCACGTGAGGACTGAGTCACGATATGGAACAAACTTATTCTTGTTTTTGCCAGCACTCTGATCTGCAAGGGCTGAGATAACCAGACCGAGGGTCGTGAGGGACCTGCATGGAGCAACAGATGATAACAATCATAAAGACCAAGTACGTCAAGTGTCACGTTTCAGCACAGACTGAACATCAAGATGCCTTTGAACCCGCATGAAAATGGCACCGCTGTCAGCATTTAGCTGCTCCGTTTAAAACTACATAAATTCTAACAGCTGATACCTCTCTTATGCTACTGTAAGCAATAAAATTGCTTAGCATAGTTTTTCCCCCATTTTTATAAATAAAAGTGTAAATCATAAACCTTTGGATCAAGATAACGACACCAACATCACACATCTTTAAGAAAGAAGGCCACATAGTACAAATAATCACAGGCAAAAATTATGTACATAACTGCACACACACAGCCATTCGATAATCGCAGGGAGTCTGCATGACGGTGTCCTGTGGCACCGATGATCTCCAGCTGGTCAGCTGGTTACTGGTGACTCCTTATCTCACTGTGTGTCCTTCGGGGAGCCACAAAGACAGAAAAGAACCCTGCCCACAGGAGCTAACGATGTAGCCTGGGGTATAAAATTCAACCATATGAAAGAACCAGTGAACAAAACATTGCTTCATAAAGCCCTAACCTCTTGGAATAAATAAGCAGCACAGCAGCCATAAGTGGGAAAGCCAGACATGGCCAGAACACATGCTGCGGTTTGTTCAGACAGTGAACACAGGTCAAGGTGGACAGACTAATTATCTTTGTTCCTTTCCATAGCTCAGACCAGCAGTCCTCAACTGAAGGTGACTGGGCCCCCTCAGGGAGCAGAGCTGGCAATGCCTGGAGGAAACTTGGGTGCCACCACTGAGGGTGAGGGGAGGGGGTGGCAGAGACTACCACCACCTAGTGGCCAGCGGTGCCACTAAACACCCTAGAATACACAGGAATCAGGAACAAAGAACTGCCAGGCCCCAAATTTCAAGAAGGCTGCTCTTGAGAAACTTCTGGACTGAGACTGTGCTCCTCAGCCCATCAAAGATCCGGCCAAAACATAAAACAGGTCCAGCTTATACAAAAATATACATCTGCAGAAATCTGAAACTATTATTCATTATAGCCTTAATGGGCCCAGAATCTTATTCTTTTAATAACTGCATGCATTCACATATTTGGCTATTAAATCAAAAGCAATAAAAAGTAAGTTCCTGAGAAAATTACTTGTTAATGTTGCTCCCCTCCTTCAGCCTGTCACCGGCAGCTCCAGTTTTCGTTGCTCGCTCACTGCCGGCCAGATCCACCAGGCTCAGCTTGCCCACCTTCTCTCCAGACGTCTAGAAAGTGAGTTGTAAATACGGATACACAGTTAAGCAGTACAAAAGGTGATACCATCTCTACAGAATGAGTTTATTATCAAAATCCTTTACTAAAGAGTTACTGTTATTTCAAAATTAGTCTGTGCTGCTATAAACCAGTGGAAGAAAATTGTACAATCTAGTAAACACAAAACCATACAAACTCTGCTAATCCAGACTAAGTTAAAGTTGTCTCAGAAAAAACAGAGCCTCCCAAAATGAGACATTTTGAAGGGAACTCAATAAAATTTTCATAGGGAAGTATACAAAAATGCTATTTATAAGTTACAAATTTTAATACATTTTGAAGCTATGCTTAAAATTTCAGAAATGTTTACCAATAATTCTAAGGAAAAAATATTTGCAATTCTTAGTAACATAAAAATTAATCTGACTTTTATACAATGGAAGGATCCCTCAAAAACTAAACACTTTCTAAAATGTTTCATATTATTCATATATAATCATTTTCTTATCTCATAATTCTAGGTATTAAATTTACATAGTTCTCTAGTTAGATAGTATATAAATGTATACATACATATACTGATATTCTCCTTTATAAAAAATGTTTTCTAACAATGAAAAATAGAAACAGACTCATAGAAAACAGACCAGTAGTTGTCAGAGGGATGAAAAACGTGAAGAAATTGAGAAGTGCAGATGGGCAGTGAAAAACAGTCAGGAAGGGGTCAAGTACAACACGAGGGACACGGTCACTAATATTGTAATAACTACGTATGGTGTGAGGTGGGTACTGGAAATACCTAAGGGAAGAGTTCGTAAAGTATATGATTGTCCAGCCAGTATGCTGTACACCTGAAACTAATACAAAGTAATACTGAATGCAAAATGTAATTAAAATTAAAATTTAAAAAATGTTTTATATTAAGTCACACATGCAACATTTTATATTCAGCAATACAAAAAATGTGGGAAACTGATGTCAAATCCTATAGGCTGGATCATTTTTTAAACCTTTCCTTTAAAATATACATTTGTATTTATTTCCATAAATAAACATGTTGCCACAAAAGGATATTCAGCTTCCCAAATCAGAAGTATGTTTGGTTTAAAGAAAAAAGTCTTCAGTGTGTTTTTTGTTTTATACTGAAAAGGAAATAGGAAACAAAGAACTTTTTGTTGTTTTACTAATATTGCTGTGATGGTAAAAGAAGAAAAATATGCTTTCAGCAAATAAAAATCCTGCCAAAATAAAGCACTTTGCCAGGGTGATAATTTTAGCTTCTGGTATTTGAAACTGATTTGCTGAGGGTTATACACCATAACAAAATATGCAAAAGTTCATATGAAAAGAGGGAAACAAATGTGCAAGTGAACAGAGGAGTTTTCCATGTGTAGAAGCACATACATCACTGGTTCTGTTTATTCTTACAAGTTTGAAGACCAAATACTCCATATTTATTCCATAAATGCAGCAATCTGACAGTACAATTTCCCTAGTGTAATTTATTCCTTCTGATACTTAGCTGCTTAACTGAAGGTAATATTTCAAAAGTACCTCCACTGAATCAGCTAGGGTATTAACATTAGATTATACCATTAGCCATCATAGTTTATGGCTCAAAAAAATGCTGTGGCAAAGACTTTGGACCATTTGCTTGTGTAACTTCTGCTCTGCCTTCCTTCAGCTAGAGAGGGTGGGGAGCTAACACTATATTACTCAGACTTCCGTGCAGGCCAGCGTTCAGGATGTGGCTTGGGTTCTGTCAGTCAGATATGCTTGATTAAGATTTGGAAAAGAGAAGGAAAGCAGAGGCTATCCTCCACCTCTTTTGGGGTTGTTCAGCTGGGAAGCAGGACTGGGTGCTCCTTGACCACAAAGTCCCTATGTTGCCCTGGATCACAGCTATGGGGCGTGCCTGGAACTCCCAGCTCGTAGCATAGCGGTGGCCTCAGAGGTAGCATCCTGGCCTTTGAGTCTGTGTTGTTCTGGGAATTATTCCTGGAGATTCAGTCTAGAACCCCCTCCTCCTCAGGTGTTCCAACAACTTTGCAGTCACCCAAATCCCCCCTTTAAAGCTCTTTCTGTTTACCCAGCATGGCTTCTGTTTCTTGTCCTGTGTCCTAACTGATATACATGTTTGGTTAGGATTTTAAGTCATCTAACACCTGAAGGGAATAAGATAAACCATGATCTACTTCAAAAACTCTTTTTAATGCATCAGATACCTGACCACCTACCCCAGACTTCACGTCGTACAAAGTGTGCGTGAGGGTGATTTTGAAGACTGCGTGGGATCTGCTGCTCTCCTCGTTCATGTTGGTTGCGGCGACTGTGCGGGATTTGTTACCCTCAGACATCAAAGACTCGATATCCTGAGTGAGAACAAGTCACAGACACGCATTTCATTATCTGCCAATATACAGTAAAACTGCTATACTACAAAAATACAAGTTGCACTATTAGGCAGACGTATTTGGCATTTACACTTTGTTTCTCAGTGAACACGAAACCCCGTAGAGCACGACAACCACACTGCCCATGAAAACAAACAAAACACACTACGTTCTGTGTGTGCGGAGTGGCAGCTTCAACTGGGAGTGAGAAGAGTTTGGACATTAAGTGTTGAGTCTCACAAAATTGACAAATATGCCCTGCCAGTCCTCATCTACCTAATCTAGAAATCTGAAAAAAAAATTAGTTTTTTTAATTACAGAAGTAATAGAAGTTGACTGTTAAATCAATTTAGACTACATGAATAAGCAACAAGCAAAAGTAATATGTTACCCCCTCAAGCAGGCAGAGCATTACCTTACCACTTTGCAGTATACCTTACCAAAACTATTTTTAAAAATAAAAACTTCAAGAGATTAATTTTCTGTACTACTCTGTTGCCATTACTACTAAAACAGAAGACAGCATGGTGCAATACAGAAGGATCACATGATCTTCATTTTTTAAAATGTCATATGCTCTAAAAACAGTTACTTAATCAGTCTGAATTTTACTTTTATAAGTAACAATACAGAGCTCTAACACCATCTACCTTCCAAGGACTTAACTGAGCAACAATAAAGACGGTATGTGTGAAAGAGTTCACTAGTTGCCTTCTTTTATATCCAGTCTCCTGCTCTTTCCAGTAAAGGAACCCAATCTTCAGCTGAGCATATTGCAGCAGAGCTAAGGGACATTTCCCAGACTCCCTTGCAGCTCAGTCTGGCCATATGAGTAAGTTTTAGCGAATGAGAGGTAAAGTATAATACAGGTCACTGGAAATTCTCTTTCAAGGGAGTATGCATGCCATTGCATCCTGGCTCTCAGAGCCACCTCAAACTACGAGAGTGAGGGCATTACCATACAGCTGGCTGAAATCTAGGTTCCTAATGGCATCTTTGGGATCAACATACCAGCCCTTTCACCATTCATTTGTTCACTCAAATATATATTGAAAGCACCTACTATGTGCTGGGTACATTTTAAGACACTGAGGACACAGAATGATCAAAACATAATAATTCATATTCCAAGGAACTTAAATCCTGTTACATTGTTTTTGCTATATATAGCCAAACTTAATCCTAGCTCACATATATAAATAAAAACCTTTGAAAATCCTAAGGTGCTGTATAAATTAAGAAGAATAATGTTTAAGGAAAAAGTCAGTATTATAAATAAAATACCTCAACTTAAAAACATTAACTGCAAAAGGAGATATAGATAGGTACCAAAATGGAAAAAAAAATCATAATTTTCTAGATCCATCCTAACTCCATTTTGGAACCATTAAATCTGACAATCCTGAGGCTCAATGTGAAAGCCTTATCCTATGTAGTCTGCATTTATTCACTGGTCTCTAATCTGTTGTCTCATGCATGAACTATGTATTTAGCCTTTTAATTTTTTAAACAACAAAAGGTCTTTTCACACTTTTCAATCTCTGAACTCTCAAAACAATCTTGATCTCTCTCCAATGTCACACAAATATGCTCTCAAATGGTCATTACTAATGTACTAACAATACCTAACCTTTATATAAATAATCTGGAGTTTCAAAGACTTTTCACATGCATTAACCCATCTGATCTCCTCCAGGAAGCCTTCCCAGACACCACCTGCCCCGGACACCTACATATCCACTTAAGTTAGGTACACTCCTTGAAACTACATTGAACCCTGAATATGCATCTGTCACAGCACTATAAACCATGTTGTTTTATAATACCTGTATAGTATCTGTAAGAAGCTTACAGAAACTTACAGAGGTAATGGACCATCTCAGTCATTTTTTAAAAGATTTTATTTATTTATTTTTAGAGAGAAAAGGGAGGGAGAGAGAGAGAGAAACATCAATGTGTGGTTGCTGGGGGTCATGGCCTGCAACCCAGGCATGTACCCTGACTGGGAATCAAACCTGCGACACTTTGGTTCGCAGCCCACGCTCAATCCACTGAGCTACGCCAGCCAGGGCTCATTCATTTTTTATATCCTCAGCACCTAACACAATAACTGGCACATGACAGGTATTCAATATTTACTAAATGAAATATCAACAATACTTTAAATGATAGAATTGATAAATGAACAAAAAACAAATGAACCTACCTCATTAGGTAGTCAAAACAATTTCTACTTTAAAAACTAGGACAAAGAGGGTGAGTGAAGTTCCGTAAGTGATCCGGAGTCATACGGGAGTTGTACAAAAGGATTAAGTGTCACCAGATCAACATGCACTGACTTTAAGTCAATGTCCACCACATCACCCCACCCCACCTCCCCCATGCACAAAGCTGGAAAGATTGCCGCAGAGCACAACCCTGAAGTCTGGAAATGAAGAAAATTGACAAAAGGCCAGTAAGTGATTCTCTCAGATGAGAACCAGGCTTTGAACTCCACCCACTTAACTCAGTACATTTTATTTAATTAAATCTGCCAAATCATAAGCAGCTTCATTATTTTATGCACTACTAGGGAAGACAAAAAGCTGACATTTACCATTGTAGAGTACATCACAACTTTGGAGTTGGTAAAACACGAAAAAATTGTGTCTCACAACAGATGAATAGGTGTGTCTTACAAATGAACATGCTCTTTCACAGCTTTTTAAGTAAAAATTGTAAAAAATAATTTATTAAGTGATACTGCTGTAATTTTTTAATTTCAAAATAATAATAATCACAAATTAAACAAAAAAATTGCCACACTGAATTTGGTTAGTTCACATAAAGGATGCTGTTACCTTGTAGCTCGTGACAGCCAGTTTAGAAAGTCCATCGACATAGGGTCCCAACACACTGTGCTCTCTGACTTTTAACGTTTGACGGCTTCTGTTCATGCAAAACAAAGGAACAATTTTTAAACAATAACCTGTTTTTTAAAGGACTAAGCTGTGCACCATAAAATACATACTGAATTCAACAAAGATCCCATATAAAGAAACCAACTGACTTGATCCCAGAAGAATTTAAACCAAAATTTTAAATCTTGACTAGTCACGAAAACTCACAATGTGGTAAAATATCACATCACTCAAAAGGGTACACTGTGGGATGTCTATTTACTACCACAAAGAATGCAGGGGCAAATAAACACAAACAATCTAATTGTCACATCACAGAATGTGGTGCAGAGAGCAGAAATTCAGTAAATGTTAACTGCGCAAAAAAGAAAAATCATAGGCCGACCGCGACTGTGACAAAGACAAGCAAAAGACAACAAACAAGGAGTCTGAGGATGACTGAGAACCCTCAAACAGGGCTTATCTCAGGGCTGCCAGGGTTTCTAAGACTGGAAAAAGAGCCACGGCCTTTACCACGTTGATAGACTAATAAGGAAAAAAAACCCATGCATGGTCGTTTCAATAAACGTAGGATAAAGTTTTCAATAAAATTAAATACTCATTCATAATTTTAAAAAAATAAGCCTCTTAGCAAACAAATAACTGATAAGCCCAGGAAAGGACATCTGCCAAAAACCTAGAGCACATACCACAGTTAATGCTATCAACCAAAAATATTAGGAATATTTGCTGATGATTGATTTATGACAGGAATTATATCTCAAAAAACTCTTTAAAAAATAAAGCCATTATACTGTAAAAATATTTGCTGATGGTGGATTACAATTGATTCTTATTTTATGTAACAATATTTTCTAGTGATTTGGACTCTTTTATCACCCTAGGATCAACCACTTAAAACTTTGCTTATTATGATAAAACTGTGCATAAAGCAGACATAGAACAATTATTTAACTTAGCCCTGACTTTAGAATATATTCTAACCCTTTCCTTTCCCTTTTCCCTTTATTTTAAAGACAATGTATACCATATTATCTCCTGTGTAAAACATAATTACATTATTACACATAGTACATGCTGAATTAATAAAATTAGTATTTGAGTAACAAAACAAAGTTATCTTGTCTTTCACTGAAAAGGTATTACTTTTACAGTTTGTTGTTTTTTTTTTTAAAGATTTATTTATTTATTTATTTTAGAGAGGGAAGGGAGGGAGATAGAGAGAGAGAGAGAAATATCAATGTGCGGTTGCTGGGGGTTCTGGCCTGCAACCCAGGAATGTACCCTGGCTGGGAATCGAACCTGGGACACTTTGGTTCCCAGCCCGCGCTCATTCCACTGAGCTACGCCAGCCAGACTTTTACAGTTTTTAATCTATTTACTTCAACTGTTCAGAAACACTACAAAAACCTCCAGAACTTCCACGGGGGACAACAACAGCGAACACTTATCAAGCACTTACTATGCGCCATAAAGTTCTAAGACCTCGAGTGTATCATCCTGGTCTACCTTCACACAGCCCTCTGAGGTATTTGTAATATCATCATACCCTCTGTACAAGTGAGGCCTAGAAAGCATAAGACTTTGGTCAACAGGTAACAATTAATGGACCCAGATCCAGAACCAGGTAAATCCAAAGCCCAAGCTGTTAGTTACTAAATTACACACAAGACAAACATGTAAGAAATTATGGAAGGTTATGAAAAAAACTGTAGATAAAGTTTAAGCTATGCCACACAAGTACTGTGGAATACAAAACACAACAATGAAGCCAGCTAAGAATTTCTGAGTAGCTGTGGGCTGGATCTCTAAGAAAACGATGGTTTTCACAAAGATGAAGGTGTGAGAAAAAGTATTCAGGGTACAGCCAGAAAAAGTACACGGGACAATATTCAGCAAGATGTGGGAGCTTAGACCACGGCCATCCTACCCCTGGCCTCCTTCTGTGCTGTGCTGACTTCCCTGCACACAGCCCTCCAGCCACACCGGACAGCTGGGTCCCTCTCCAAACCTGGAACTTCTCCGAACATACTTTGGCATGGGCTTTCCCCTGTGCTTGATTGGTTCTCACCTAACTTCACTGTGAACAAACTCCTCCTCGGCACAGAATTTATCAAGCATGTTCTAGTGAATCTCCCCTTTCTCTGGGTGAAGACACTCATTTTGATGCAGCAGTGACTCACCGCCTCTAACGCCATCTTCCCATCATCACCTTCTTCATCCAAACATAAGCACATGTCCCCTCATCATCCTCCCCATGTTCTGTAAGCCCCAGCTCATTTGGCTCTTTGACCTTCCAAACACTGCTTTTACATCAATAAGCCACAAGTTGCGGTTATTATCTGTTTCTTTCTCTCCATTGTTGCACTTCCTTAAAATCTGAACTCAGAGAACACTGTGCAATGAACATATTTCCTCAGATACCTCATCTTCCTCACTAGGTTCAGATATGACTACAGAGTGACAACAGCATTTTTTAAGGCTTCCCAATACTTCTGAGCCACTTCTATTTCAAAGTCTGAGTCATAAAATGGGACTTTTAAAAATCCAGATCTTTAAAATTAACTGTCCTAAAGTCCTGGTTCCATACTTATATACCTCCCTCTAACTCCACAGTCTGTCACCAAACAACTGAATTCTCCCTGAAGCTTCTAGGTTAAAAAAACACTAATAGCCTACCTGGTTAAGGACACCAGTAATTTTCATTACACATTTGTTGTTTGTGGCTCTGGACACATACAAGAAGGCAGTGTGATCCAAATGCATGCCACTCGCCCACACTTCTCTGTCCTACCCTAGCTCAAACTTCCAAAGCCCAGAATTGGCTGCAGGAAGCCGCTCAATGAAACTAACAGCAAACCACAACAACAATAACTAGACAACTAGATAAAATCACAAAGACAATACCTAGATAAATAACTCTCTACCAGAATGCAATATAAAAATTTCATTAAGCCAATTTATCAAGTCTGTTTTGGCCCATAATATTACAGTATTAAAGCTTCAAAGTTATTTACCCTTTGGGGTCAAGAAGGTCTCTGACTTTTTCATTATAAATTTCCATATAGGACACTTCTACTTTAAAACTCTGCTCTTCGTTTTCCTCTTTCTGAGTTCGTTCAAAGAGTCCACTACAAAGTCTTGGGATTAGTCCAGGTTGGTCAGCTGTACCCATCATAGTGTAAGATTTTCCAGATCCTAGAAAAAGAAAATCAGTTATTACTGTCTCTTTGAGAAGTTGAAATACATAAACCTCTTTCCAGTGCTCATAATAAATTATTAGCACTTAGGAAAATACCCAAAATAAAATAAGAAATATATCCAAATATAATGATGAGACTAAGTACTGAAGCTTTCCTCCTGCACATGTAAAAGTCAAAAGTAAATATCCTTTAGGAAGAAAACAAAAACCTTCTTTAAGCATCTTCAGAGTTTAAAAAGTTACCTAAAACAAATGAAAAATAAAATCAACTGGGAAGATCCACTGATCAGTCATATTACTGTGCCTGCTCTCAACCACTAACCCCACTACCAAAAATATATGTTTTCCTTACAGGCCCCAGAGCAAGGTAACCTACTTTGGCAATGGTGTAGAAACCAGCATAATTTTTTCTACTATAAAGTTATTTTCTCCGTTGTATCAAGATTACATATTCATTAAAGGCAATTTAGGAAACACCAGAAAATAGAAAGAGAAAAATTCAAGCACTCATAGTCCTTAGTATAATTTTCTCCCCTTTTTATAGAAATGAGTTTATAAACACATTTTTAAATACAAGTTGCTGCTCTTGTCACCTGTCACTTTATCAGTATCATGATACCTAAAACTAGGTCCCAGGTCTTCTCTAAAAGTTTTAACGTGTTAACTCATTCTGACAACCCTGTATGAAAGGTTGTCAACATTTCACAGATAAGGAAACTGAGGTGCAAGTTTCACAGCTAGTCAATGGCAGGAGCAGGGCTGGGGCTGGGATAACCCGGATCAGAGTCGTTGCCCTTGTAACCATCATACACACTGCCTCTTAAAATACAAGCATCTGTCCATGGAGAATAGTTTTCGACTGGACAAACCATAAAGTCGAAACTTAATACAGTAATTCCTTCACTTGGAGTAGATTTCCTTTCCTGTTGACCACAGAGGTACAGAAGCCAAAATGCTCCTTATCAATCATAACTGATAAGATGCTAACAATATGTATCCTTTTTGGTATATTCTCTGTTATAACCCTTAAGGCTTAAAAAAACACATATTTAATGTTACCAGTCTGTCCGTAGGCAAAGATACATGCATTATAGCCATCAAAAGCATTTTGAAGAATATTCTCCCCAAGGCACTTAAAAACATCATCTTGACCTAAAAGACAGAGAGAGAGAGAGAGAGAGAGAAAGGATGTTTTAAGCCAAAACCACACATGAATAATTAAAGAAAAAAAAACTCTCAAAAATGTACTTTTTTTCCAGCTTATCTCCAAAAAAGATTTTTAAACTTGATGAATGCTTCCAAAGGGCAATGTTCTTCAGGGTATTTCTAGTTAGCACATAAGACAAAATGAGTAAAAAGTTCCTGATAATATGAACTTGAATTAGTAAACGCTGACCAAAATCTTCTGCAATGCAAAAAGCTAACGACCTGCTAATTCAGGAAACTGTGATCCTAAGTATACAAAATTTAAACTTCGGACCTAGGTGGACCTGAAATTAACTATATATCACTGAACTAATACTTTATTCAGTACAAAATAGTCACATACATAAATCCGCTCTCCTTTTCCTCAATAATTTTTTTTATTTGGAAACAATTTCCTTTTTATTTTTTAAACAAGTTTATAAGGCAGAAATGGCCTTACCAGGAAGAAAATACTACCATGGAAAAAAATGTCAAGTGTCTTTACAAAAACATACAGTTGTGGTTAAATTCACGGGTAGCTTGTTTTACTTCTGTTGCCAAACACTTGGAACCAGTGGTCTATGGTAGCGAGCAGTGGTTCTCCAGGGACTCTGTTTTTTTTCTTTTCTCAGTGGCAAGTTTAGATTACAGAGTCTAGAATATATACCAGCTAGGTGAGGGTGTAAGATATTGAAAATTTCTTCTAGCTTCCTATCATGGACGTAAATAATAGGGTCAAACACTCCTCTACAGGCTAAATTAAATATGCCATTCAACCTTGAGTCTTGAATATTGTGGTGATATTATGATTTATAATGATATTATGATTTATAAGAAATATATATTTGGTTATTCATTTGCCTTAGGATTTTCTAAGTGTTAAAAGTTATAAATATGTCTTTTTTTATATTAATGAGGTGACTTTTGGGGCAAACCCATGGATGGGAGCTGGTTGGAGGGAGAACCAATCATGTGATTGGAAGGTTGGAACTTTCAGTCCTCCTCCCCCCTGGGGAGAGGGGAGGGGCTGGAGAGAGAATCGATCATCAATGGCCAATGATTTAATCACTCACATCTCATATTTAATGAAGTCTCCCTAAAAACCAAAAGGGACAGGGTTTAGAAAGCTTCCAGGTTGGTGAACACGTGGAGATTTGGCTAGAGAGGTGCACCTGGAGAGAGCATGGGAGCTACCTGCCCTTTTCCCCATACCTTGCCCTATGCATCTCCTCCACCTGCCTATTCCTGAGTTATACCTTTTTATAATAAACTGGCAACCTAGAAGTGAAATGTTTCTCTGAGTTTTGTGAGATACTCTAGCAAATTAGTTGAACCAAAGGAGGTAGTGGTGGGAACCTCTGATTTATGGCCAATTGGTCTGAAGTATAGGTAACAACCTGAACTTGTGACTGGTGTTTTCAGTCCAAGGAGACAATCACCAGAATCTGCAGTTTAGAGCTGGCTGTTTAGAGCTGTTACCTGTCAGAAGCACAGGTAACAACTTGGACATGAGACTGGTGTCTGAAGTGGGACATAGAGGTAAGGGGCAGCCTTAACCTGTGGGATCTGATGCTGTCTCCAGGTAAATAGTGTCAGAATGGAACTGAATTAATTATAGGACATCCACCTTTTGTCTGCAGCACTGCTTGTTGGTGATAAAGGGGAAATATCTCTGGCACCATGAACCAGAATTGGAATCTAGACACACTCTAAATATGAGAGGCCCGGATGCTGTTATGTTTGTTGTGTTTTAAATGCTATAAATAGTATTCCATTATGCCTTACTTCCTAGTTAATTTACCAGATTAGTACATCATCATCATACTTCCGATACTGAAGCATTCCTTAAAGTCATCATCAGGCCAGCTAGACTGAATTAACCTTAACTTTTGAAACAGCTGTAGTACTACTGTTTCTCATGATAAAAGGCAATACAGTATGACACTCAATATCTAAAAGAGATTGCTTAGAACAGGTGTCGTAAGCAGTTAAGAGTAAAGGAAATAAAGGGCTGTCACTGTAGTCCTATACTTGTGGTGAAAAAGGGCTTGAGACAATCATCATTGAAGAGAGGAAGAAAATAACAGAATTCTGGAGCAAATTTAGAAAGAACATGGTATGGTCCTCTTCGTTAGAGAAAACAGAACAAGGAAGGCTTAAATGATTCACTCAGTCACAGCGGGCAGCCAGGAGCAGAGCCTGGCTTACACTTGAGGTTCCATTTTCTCCATGGCTCGTCATTCGTCACACCAAGCTGCCCCTCTAAGCACATCACAGAGCATCTAAGGGAATCTAAGTGACTGCTGTGTGCCACTGGTGCCACACAAGGTCTGGGGATGTGTGTAAGATACCTCAGCCTATTGATCTGTGTCATCTTCAACCATGAACAGTACACTGTGAAGCTCCCATTACCCAACCAATGCAACAACTCTAATGGCAAAGATTACAGGAAATTCTCTATATAGTTTTTAAAGTTATACAAAATAATACTATGATAAATTATGGGAAAATAGTAAAGCACCTTTTCTATATTATCAGTAGTTAAAAGGATGCTATATTCTTACCTGCATACTTTTCTTTGACAGATTCATCCATAGACCAGAAACAATGGTCATATGCAAACACCTGTTGAAAAATGAAAATAACATTGTATGTATTAAGAACACAATCTTAACATGCTTATAATAACAATGTCATAACATTGATAACATTGTTCATGACATGCAATGAAAATAATTTTCTGTCCCATAATGAAAACTATTAAATTACTTACAGTATAGTCTTACAATACACAATAAGCACCCTATAAAAGATAGAAATCTTTACTTCACACGGAAAACTTCATAATGTTAAATGAAAAAAGAGAAGGTTACAAAACAATATGTACAACATGATGGCTACTACACACACACACACACAATTACATACACAAAGTATATTTCTGCATGATAAGTATTGTTTTCTTCTTTGCACTTCTATGTAGTCTATGTTTTTATTTTTCTGAGAAAATAAAAATATTTTTGAAAAACAAAATGTAAAGATGATTACTATACCAAGTTGGAAATAGCTATGAAATAGCAGATTCTTTAAATAAATTATAACACATCCATGTGCAATACTGTACAGCTTCCCGATTGTAAAAGACTGACAAGAATGTTTACATGTTAATGTAAAAGTTACGGGAGTCTGGACCATGATCCCGTATTTGTACAAAAGTCTACACAGATAAAAAGTGGGAAGAACAGACAGTTGGTGGGACATCACAGATGGATTTGTTTAGATCATTTACATTTATTACTTTCTAAAATGGGCACTTTTTTGGAATCTCTGAAAAGCATTTTTCATTTTTTGGATTTCAGGTTTTATAGTTTAGTCTTTTTAAGGATTTGAGGTGTAATTATTTTTAAATTCACTTCAGCTTGCATTCTAACGTTCCCACTCCTGGTGTTTGTTGCCTTGCCTCCTGATGACAGGTTTCCCCTTGTACCCTTGTATCCGGGTCTACAAGTGCATTGGCAGTTTGTGTTTTGTGGATTATGGAGTGCTTATTTTTTTCCTCTCCCTTTGGCCACCTTTATACGATGAGCCCTGATGCCAATCCCAGCTACCGAAGCCCAGATTGAGGTCTTCCCAAAGGCCAGTGACATCTCTACTCCTTCCTATTTATAGACATCAGCTCAGAACTGGTGGCCAAAACCCACTTTTTAAGCCTTCATTCATAGTGGAGCTGCACCCAAATTAGTTTTCACATGGTGAGCTTCTCCAGCCCTCAACCATACACCAGCACCCTTTGTAATCTGCAACAAACTTCTACCACCTCTGAGAGCCTGTGTCTGATCCTAAGGACCAGCAAAGATGCTGCTTCAGTGTCAGCTTCCTGCTGGTCTCCAAAGTTACATATGTTGTTTTTTAATATGATGTGATTTTAATATTTTAAAATATTTTATCTGTCCTGACTATGAGTTTGGAGTTGGCAGGAGAATGTTTGTGTGTGAACTCACAAGGCTATTTGAACCAGAGGTCTGTCTTAATTTTTTAACAAAGGAAGTTAGGTTAGGACGGTAAATTAAATATACCATATATCCCCCATCCCACCTGAAATTAATTCATAATGATGGAGAGATGGAGGGGAAGGACCCAAAAGAAAAAAGAAGGGGGAAAGAAGCGCAAGCTTCTGAAAGCAAAATCGCTTGCTTACACCTGGATCAGAAACTGAGAATCCCTGAAAAAAGCTGCAGTGAGACTGATGGGGAGTGACCCTAAGGAGTGGGAGGCGGAGTGGGAGCCCCAGCGAGACAACAGACAGACCCCACAGCAGCAGATGGCTACACAGAGCAGTTCCGGGAGTGGGCGCACCAGGCCAACAGCTGAATGAGCAAGAGGGGACCTTGGGGCCACCAACAGGATGACTGCTTAAAAATATTTTCCAAAAGGATTAAGAAGTACAAAATGACAGTTACAAAATACTCAAGGATGTCAAGTTCAGCATAGAAATGTAGTCAATAATACTGTAATACTATGTTTGGTGTCAGGTGGGTACTAGATTGATGGGGGGGTCACTTCATCAGTTATAAAAATGTCTAACCACCATGCTGTGTATCTGAAATATGGAATATCAACTGTAACTGATGAAAAATTTTAAATGCCTGGTACCTAGAAATAAATAAATTGATTAAAAATAAAATAAATAAATAAAAACACCTTCAAAGCAGGGAAGGATCAGACCACCCACACTTCGAGCAAAACAGCAGGCAGCGGAGGCACACGTTCCCTGGGATGGGGCGGTGATGTGGAGGACAGGCCGGGAAGGCAAGCAGAAGCCCACTGGCCGGCAGCACCCAATGGGGCAGCGCCCTGGGGCCCGGAAGCTACCACCCAGCTTCAGTACCACATGGTACATTACTAATTTGCAACATTTTTCCAAAGCTGAACATACATCGATCAGTAATGGTGGTGGCTCACTGTGTTAGCAATTCTCCAACAGGGAGAGGAGGAAAAGAAGAAGGAAGGTGGAAGGTGGTCCCAAAGGACCGTGTATCAAAATTTTGGGTAGGGACTGCTTTTCAAACTACATTCATAGCCAGGGCGAGAATCACTTCAGCATGGTAAGATTAACTAAAATGTGAAGCTCAAAGTAAGTTTCTTCTGTTGTAGCTTCCAGGTCTCATCTCTGATCATTTTATTTAATCCCGTGATAAGGTTAAGTAGAAACTCTTCTCCTGGAGCCTGATCCCCTCACTCCCACAGTCCCATCGCCGTGCATGGGCACTTGTCAAAGATCGGGCTCTGGATGGGACTCCTCTCTCCATTATTATGAGTTGCTTTCTTTTCTTTCTCTTCTTAATTTAGAGATTCCTTAAACAACTATATTTCTTATTCTCAATTCCAGTAGAGAAGCTATCACTAAAGTAACTGTAACATGGCCAATAACTCCATGCTAGGTCACTGAGGCAAAAGGCCACTGCGGTACAAGGTGGTTAAGAACCTGGTGGCAGGCAGAAAGGGGACCTGGGGGTTGAACCCAGCCTTTGAGCCAGTGCCTGCTCACCACTAGGTTCTCCACTACTGGTCTCAATTAGCTTTATGCTCCCAATTTTTTGAAAGCCCCACAGCCTGGTACAAAGTTGCAAACTAATGAACTGTTAGTTCTTACTAACAACACTGAATGGTCCTCTTTAAGTTTTAGCAACTTTATAGGGATCTTCCAGCCATGGATTTCCTAAAGCAGACCAGGTCATTTCTTTCTAAATAAACATGTTTGCTTAAAAATTTAAAAAATTAAACTTTTTTCAAGTAACAGAGAAAAAACACAAATTCATTATAACAAAGTCAAATAACACAGAAGCATAAAGTAAAAAATAGAGGCCTTCCATTCACCGAGCATACCACTCCCTACAGGTAAACACTTGATAATGTGGTGTTGGTCCTTCCACGGTTTTTACGTCAGCACACTTCCTCTAAACATTAATATGCAGTTGTATTAAGTAAAATATGAATAGTTTTAAAATAGTCATATATGTTTCTTCATATCTTTACTGTAATCACCAGCCCCGACTCCATCAAAAAATAAGAAAATGAAAATAATCCAGCACTTTAACATAAAAGAAAAGATGAGGTAAAACTAATAAGAGTTAGTTTTTCACAGTCCCAAACAGCCATGTCTATATATATTTTAGCAACAATAATAGAGAATGGAATTACAATTCAACCATACATTCTAAAACAAAAACAAAACTCCAAGAATGCAGATAAAAATCTGAATTTCCTGGAAAGTTCTAAGTAACTTCAGAGAATGGTCAATTCAAAAACACAGCCCTGGTGCCCACTCTGGCACACCTCTAAGTTCCCTGAGCTCAGGGGCTGGCGCGGCCCACTGGAGTTTCTTTAGAATCTGGGCTCAAACCTAAGATGAAAGCATGTCCTCGTGAGAAAGCTGCGGGCCAGGGCGGGTTTCCGTTGGCTTGAGAATGTGTCCCCAGCTGTCTTGGGAGGATGAGTCTGCCTGGCCCAGTCTGACCACAGTTTGGAAGGACAAGTTTTGAGCCAACCCATGGTGAACAGCAAAGCACAAAAGGAATCTGTGTTGTAGCTGCCAGGAGACCGGCCATAATTGGTCAAAATACAAATACAGTTTTTCCATAAACCTCCAGTCTCTTCTATGTCAATAAATGGCTTCCAATTTCTGAACAGACTGAGAGCTCGAGTTACTTTTACAAAAGGGACAAAGAAAAAATGCTTCTGAGAAGAAAAATTATGAATAGTTCAAAAACATGCATGTAAGATGTTTATAAGCATCCCATAATATACCAAATCGCTTACCTTTGGCTGGCTTCTGAGTTCCCCAACGAGATGTCATCGTTGACATGAAAGAAATGAGAGAAGGTTCAAAAACATTTTTTTAGTTCAGAAGACTCTTTTTGAAGGACAAAAATGATAATAAACATCATGTAAATTTTTCTTAAGAGTACAAAATATTAATTTTGAAACCAAATAGCAATTTAAAATAAAGGATCAATTCATATTTATCTATTAACTGGTATGGTAGAATGCTAACTTGTATCTCTCTGGTATAAGAAAGATTACCCAAGCACTGGACAATTTTTAAAGTACTAATATTTCTGCCTTATACATTCTTTTTATTCTTGTATATTTAAAAATTCTTTACTCTTTATCGTCTGATTTAACTTCCAATCAGTTTTGCCTGTTTTGATACAGAAGGAGCTTACTCTGTATCTCTACAGAGCCTTCTACACAAAATGAATTCTGTTCTGCTAAGAAAAAAAAAGGTTACATTAAAGGAACAAGTGATTTTAATTTTTTTGCCAGTGAATTTACTGAATTACTCACTTATTCCTTATTGTCTATGCTTCCCCAGGTGCTTCTAACCTCTCTCCCTGGGAAACTGCCCCTCACATCGCCTCAGGGTACAGGCATGTGTCTCAATCCAATATAATTTTGAGATAGTTTCAGAATTAGAGAAAAAGCTGTATGGAAAGCACAAAGAACTCCCTTCACCCAAACCCACCAACTGCTAACACTGCCAGAGCTACCGTGGCATTCTCCCCTCCCCCCTCCACCCCATGTAAACAGCAACACACACACACACACACACACACACACACAATGCATTTTTCCTTAACCGTCTGAGAGTAAGCTACAGACATGTCCCTTCAGCTCTAAACACTTCAGTGTGTAATTCCTGAAAAGAATGATATTCACTCACAAAACAAAGGTACATTAAAATCAGAACATTTAAAAATAAATGAAGTCATTTTGAAACCAGAATGAAACAGGAACAATGACCGAAGCTTTGGGAAGAGTTGGTCTCTCTCAGAGGATCAGAGGGCCAACTCAAACCTAAAACTTGAAAGAAAACTACACGTGGAAATGCGTCCTTGCAACTGTCTGTACATTTTGTTCTCCCTTTATCTCATAGAAGCCTTTCTCCTAAAATAAATTGAATGTTATTTCTATCAAATGACTTCAAGTAAGAGTGCTAAAACATGAAGGAGCATCTCACAAATGAGTGTCATCTAACAGATTTTGGAGTAACAGCTAATGAGGGGAACACATAAAATAATTTCTCTGGAATAAGAGACAAGGAAAAACTCCCCTAAGAAAAGATTTGTGAAATACTGGTAGAGTTTACTGACACATGCTATCATCTTTTTATGGGTCTTTATAAGGAAAACAGATTCTCGTCAACTGCAGACAGCGTAGTTATAACCTAGCTGGAGGTCAGAACAGAGACAGCATACATGGAACGCCTAATACAGGTCAGGCACATTGCATGCTACTTAATTCTCTCGATAACTCTGCAAGGTGCTTTTTTTTTTAGATTTATTTTTAAATTGTATTTTTAGAGAGGAGAAGGGAGGGAGAAAAAGGGGGGGAGAATCATCAATGTGTGGTTGCCTCTTGCACACCCCCTGCTGGGGACCTAGCCCGCAAACCAGGCATGTGCCCTGGCTGGGAATTGAACTGGTGACCCTTTGGTTTACAATCCGGCACTCAATCCCCTGAGCTACACCAGCCAGGGCGCAAAATGCTCTTACTATTCCAATTTTACAGATGAGAAACTTAAGGCTCAGAAAAGTTAAATGACCTGTCCAAGATATAAGAATAAGCAGTGATGAACCTGCAATACAAAACTAGGCCTCCTGACTCCCAAGTCCATGTTATTTTCCTCTTCCACACTGGTCAAAACAGCCTCTAGACTTCAGAATCTATGAGTCATATCTTAACAACTGCTCCTACTAACAGAAACATTTCCATGTATTACTTTCCTCCATTCTAATGATTACCTAATAAAATGTTACCAATTGGTGCGTATGCCAGTATGAGTTTATTTATTCATATTATTAACAAAAATTCCAAACTGTCTTTTCTGAGAGAAAAATAAGATATCTGTTATGGTATTTCTATTTTAAATAAAATATTTTTATACAAAAATCAGCTCTTCCTAGGTGACAACCATCAAACATGAAACTCAAAAATACATGACACATAGCAGAAGAGTTCATCGGACCAACCTAAATTCAAACATAATAATAAAAACAGAAACAAACCAGTAAATTAATTACAGAGCTAAGTTTCCAGCTAGGGATTCTGGTGCTACAAGAGTAAAGCTCAAATAACCTACAGAGTCATTGGAAACCCAAAGATGTAATTACAGCTCTGTACAAAAATAAATAAGTAAATTAATTAATTAAACAAAGCCTTTCAAAATGTAGCTGCCATCCAATCCAGCAATGCCTCACTTATCCCAAAATTCCTTAATAAGAAACCTCAGCTACCCAGATCACAGTGGAGATTTAGGAAGCAAAGGAAGACTACACCTAACCAATCAAAAGAGATATCACAAGGTAAAAGCATGAAAGTCTTAGTATCTCAGCTGAGCTGAATTATTTTATATTGTGGCTGTGGCTTAAGTTCATTTTGAAATACCTTCAGCTCTGGCCAGGTAGCTCAGTTGGTTAGAGTGTTGGCCCAATACACTGAAGTTGCAGGTTTGATCCCCAGTCAGAGAATATCCAAGAATCAACCAATAAATGCATGAATAAGTGGAACGACAAATCTCTCTCTCTTCCTCTCTCTTCCTTTCTCTCTCTCTAAAAATCAATCAATAATTTTTTCCCCAAAAAAGAGCCCTAGCTGGCATGGCTCAGTTGGTTGGGCATCATCCTGCAAACTGGAGGGTTGCAGGTTCGATTCCCAGTTGGGGTACATGCCTAGGTTGTGGGTTCTGTCCCCCATCAGGGAGCATAGAAAAGGCAATAAATTAATGTTTCCCTCTCACACTGATGCTTTTCTCCCTCTCTGTCCACCTCCCTTCCCCTCTCTAAAATCAATAAGCATGTCCTTGGTTGAGGATTTAAAAGGAAATACTTCCAGATTTACAAAAATTCCAAAAGTAGTACAAAGAATTCCGGTGTACCCTTCATCCAGCTTCCCCAAATGTTGACACGTCATATGGCCACAGTTATAATGATCAAAACCAGGAAATTAAGCATCACAAGATTTATTAAATGATAGAGAGCCAACCTTATAAAATGTTGTCTTTTTTCTTTTTGCCAATTGCCCCACTGATGTCCTTTTTCTGGTCCAGTATCGCATGCCATTGTCATGTCTCCTTCCATCTGGGATGGTCTGACTCTCACGAACCTGACACTTGAGGAGTACTGGCCAGTTATTTTGTAGCATGTCCCTTCATCTGGGTCTGTCTAATGCTTCCTCATGACTAAATTCAGGTTATGTACTTTAGCAAGCACGACAAGAAGTACTGCTGTGCCCTGCTCAGCGCATCACACCGGAAGGCACGTAATAATGGCCATGTCTCCCTACTGATGATGGTCAATCTGATCACTTGGTTATGGTTGTATCTACTAGGTTCTCCACTGTAACATTATTAGTTTTCCCTTTGTACATTTTTTTGTGAGGGAGACTTTGAAACTACATAAATACAATTTCTCATCATACTTTAACCCACAAATTTAAGCATCCATTGATGATGAGTCTTGCCTGGAAGTAGTGCTGTCTCCCAAATGGTGACTATATAGTTACTGGAGATGTCAACAGCCCAGGTGGACAGACATGGATGGAACAGATGGACGTGCTTTTTAGGAAGAGGTCAGCTTGGGAAACAACAAATGATTTGGTTCCATATTTTGGACAGAACTATTATCTGTGAATAAGCTACTTACTTCCTTCTTTTCACTGACCTGGCTTCTGTTCATTTCTCATTTAAATATAAATTACAACAGAAAATTACTCCTAACATTTAGAATGCCACCATGTGAAAAAATGTGGTGATGATTTTATATGTTAATGATTTTTGATAATTTTTATTAATATTCCTGACAATTACAAAAATAACTGATATTGGTTAGGTCCAAAAACAAACCAAGTATCGTGTGTGTGTAAAACACAAAGTGATGCCAGTAGAATGGCAAGTTATAAATCAGTTCCTGCTGCCAACTACCAAAATCAAACATCATATCCAATATTATCATTTCTTTTATTTTTAAAGATTTAAGTTTCCGAAACCTCCACAATTAAATATTTGGAATCTCTGTTTTAACAAGATCCCACTGTACCCCACTCTGTAACGGATGTATGGACCACAAAGAGCTCATTCTAATAGAGCTAAACTACGTAATGATATTGTTGCCTTTTTGGACTTAGCTGGTAGTACCAGCAACTGAACAACAATCTGTGTGGTGATCATCATTTTCTCTTTGTCACCCCTCCCCCAATGTGTTTTTCACAAAACAAATACAGCTGATCTGACTGAAAACTTAGACACTGACTAGCTCACAAAGGAAGCCTATCAATCTTTGCTTATCTAGAGAACTTAAGAAGTACAAACATCACTGAAAGCCCCCACTCATTAATTCCTTGACATGTGGAATATTCCTTTCAATTTAAAGAATTAATTTTAAAAGTATCATTGATAGAGTGGAGTTCTTTGGAGAATAGCATTCAGGGTGTAGAGGGGTTTGAAAATGCTACCACTGAAAGAAGAAATCAAAGAACTAGACCTATTAGCCTGGACCAGAAAAGATCAAAGGAAGACATGATGCCCCTCCGCAGAGGTGAGAAGACTCACCCACTTGGGGTGGCCTGGGGGGAGAGCAGACTTGTTTTAGGTCACTTCAGAGAGTAGACCTTGGTAGGACCTGCTGGACAAAGTTAAAAGAAGAGGGATACTGCTTTAATTAAAAAATGATTAGCACTATGTCAAAAAACAGCTCCCATCAGTGGAATTATCTAAAGAGAGAATAGAAAAACATTTAAAGAGGATGCAGGACAAAGGAGAAATCACACTGGATT